AGATTTACAAGAAAAATACAAACAAGCCTATTCAAAAGTGGGCGAAGGATATGAACAGATACTTTACAAAAGAAGACATACAGGAGGCCAACAAACATATGAAAAAATGCTCATCATCACTGGTCATCAGAGAAATGCAAATCAAAACTACATTGAGATACCATCTCACGCCAGTTAGAATGGCGATCATTAAAAAATCTGGAGACAACAGATGCTGAGGAGGATGAGGAGAAATAGGAACACTTTTACACTGTTGGTGGGAATGTAAATTAGTTCAACCATTGTGGAAGACAGTGTGGCGATTCCTCAAGGACCTAGAGATAGAAATTCCATTTGACCCAGCAATCCCATTACTGGGTATATATCCAAAGGATTATAAATCATTCTACTGTAAGGACACATGCACACGAATGTTCATTGCAGCACTGTTAACAATAGCAAAGACCTGGAACCAACCCAAATGCCCATCGATGATAGACTGGACAGGGAAAATGTGGCATATATACACCATGGAATATTATGCAGCCATCAAAAACGATGAGTTCGTGTCCTTTGTAGGGACATGGATGAACCTGGAAACCATCATTCTCAGCAAACTGACACAAGAGCAGAAAATCAAACACCACATGTTCTCACTCATAGGCGGGTGTTGAACAATGAGAACACATGGACACGGGGAGGGGAGCACTACACACTGGGGTCTGTTGGGGGGAAATAGGGGAAGCACAGTGAGGGGTGGGGAGTTGGGGAGAGATAGCATGGGGATAAATGCCAGATACAGGTGAAGGGGAGGAAGGCAGCAAATCACACTGCCACGTGTGTACCTATGCAACAATCTTGCATGTTCTTCACATGTACCCCAAAACCTAAAATGCAATAATAAAAAAAAAAGGCTGGGAAAGCAATAACATGTCAAAATAAGGAAAAGATTATATGCTACAAGCTAAGACATGCCTGGGCATATCTAGGCATGCCCTGACAGATCAGGAACCAGTGGATTAGGCCTGTTAAAAATAAAAGAACAGGGAGGCTGGACACAGTGGCTCACGCCTGTAATCCCAGCACTTTGAGAGGCAGAGGTGGGCAGATCACTAGGTCAGGAGTTCAAGACCAGTCTGGCCAACATGGTGGAACCCTGTGTCTATTAAAAATACAAAAATTAGCTGGGCGTGGTGGCAAGTGCCTGTAATCGTAGCTACTCGGGAGGCTGAGGCAGGAGAATTGCTTGTACCAGGACCCAGGAGGTGGAGGTTGCAATGAGCCGAGGTGGCGCCACTGCACTCCAGCCTGGGCTACAGAGCAAGACTCTGTCGCAAGAATAAATAAACAAATAAAAGAACAGGGAGACAGAGTAGGCTTTATTTGAGGAAGAACTTGACTGCATCTGTCACTGACTTAGGGCAGCTGCTACAATGTAGCTACTAGAGGATCCTTCTCCAGCCTCAGGAACTGAAGCTGAAACTGGACTACTTTCAGAAATGTCATCATGAAGATCCTTACACTCAACACTTCAGGTGATAGGTTTCTGCACGACTTTTCAAGACCACAGCCAATGTCTTTAAAATCATAGCTGGCTTATGTGTCAACACGTATTCTCCACTCAAACTTCAGAATAAGGCATAAGATGGATGTGTGTGATGGCACCAACTCTGCTTTCTCCTCTCTGGTGACCACTCACTCAGGCCCTGCCTGCACCCATTTTTACTCATTTCAGGGCTCCGTCCATTACCCTGAGCCTTCAACCTGCAGCTCTGCTTTTCACAGTCTGCAGATGCCTAAGAAAGGCATCACTAAAGGCCTTGGGCTGATGGCTGCACTTGGCACCTATGGGAGCCGCCATGATCCAACCCGGTGGCTCACGCCTGTAATCCTAGGACTTTGGGAGGCTGAGGTGGGTGGATTGCCTGAGCTCGGAAGTTCAAGACCAGCCTGAGCAACATGGTGAAACACTGTTTCTACTAAAATACAAAAAATTAGCCAGGTGTGGCAATGTATGCTTGTAATCCCAGTTACTTGGGAGGCTGAGATAGGAGAACTGGTTGAACCCAGGAGGTGGAGGTTACAGTGAGCCAAGATTGCACCATTGCACTCCAGCCTGGGAGACACAGCAAAACTCCGTCTCAAAAAAAAAAGAAAAGCAAATACTTGATCAAGATTTACATACCTTAAAATCCACACATTGAAAGCATATGATTCAATAGTGTGTTACAGTATTTTAACAGAGTCGTGTCACCATCACTCCAAAAAGAAACACTGTCTCATCAGCGGTCACTCCCCATTCCCTACTGTACTCCAGCTCCTGGCAATCCCTCGTCTACTTTATCTTACAGATTTACCTACTCTGGGCATTTCCTATAAATGGAATCCTCTCTGCAGCCTTTTGGCTCTGCCTTCTTCATCTAGCGTCATCTCTACTAAAAATACAATTAGCCAAGGGTGGTGGCGTGCTCCTGTAGTCTCCGCTACTCAGGAGGCTGAGGTGGAAGAATCACTTGAACCTGGGGTGGGTAGTGGCAGAGGTTGCAGTGAGCCGAGATCCCACCACTGCACTCCACCCTGGGCGATAGGGCAAGACTCTCTCTCAAAACAGAAAAACAAACAACAAAAACAAACAGGAACCATAGGACACCATCTGACTATAATAATTTTTTTTTTTTTTTTGAGACAGACTTTCGCTCTTGTTACCCAGGCTGGAGTGCAATGGCGCGATCTCGGCTCACCGCAACCTCCGCCTCCTGGGTTCAGGCAATTCTCCTGCCTCAGCCTCCTGAGTAGCTGGGATTACAGGCACGTGCCACCATGCCCAGCTAATTTTTTTTGTATTTTTAGTAGAGACGGGGTTTCACCATGTTGACCAGGATGGTCTCGATCTCTTGACCTCGTGATCCACCCACCTCGGCCTCCCAAAGTGCTGGGATTACAGGCTTGAGCCACCGCGCCTGGCTATAATTTTTTAAATGGGCAAAACATTATTGAAAAATCATTCAACAACTGGAGTAGCCGATTGAAAATATGTATCTTCTTATGTCTGCACTTTTTTGGGTTAAGTTTTATACATTTCTTAAATTGACTTTTTTTTTTTTTTTTTTTTTTTTGAGACAGAGTCTCACTCTGTTGCCCAGGCTAGAGTGCAGTGGTGCGATCTTAGTCACCGTAACCTCCTCCCCCAGTGCTCAAGTGATTCTCTCACCTCAGCCTCCCCAGTGACCGGGATTACAGGCGTGTACCACCATGCTCAGCTAATTTTTGTATTTTTAGTAGAGACAGGGTTTCACCATGTTGGCCAGGCTGGTCTTGAACTCCTGACCTCAAATGATTTGCCCTCCTCAACCTCCCAAAGTGCTAGGATTACAGGTGTGGAGCCACCACACCTGGCCTCTTAAATAGATTTCTTAACAGTATAATCAAGTTTTGTCAATGTTATCTGGATGAAAGTTTAGATTCCCACAATGTCACCCATTTCATTCTAAATGTTGTGAATATATTATTTTTAAAAACCCAGTTTCTTTGTTTTTTTGAGCTGGAGTCTTGCTCTGTTGTCCAGGCTGGAGTGCAGTGGCACGATCTTGGCTCACAGCAACCTCTGCCTACTGGGTTCAAGCAATCCTTGTGCCTCAAGCCTCCCAAGTAGCTAGGACTACAGGCATGTGCCACCATACCTGGCTAATTTTTGTATTTTTAGTAGAGACAGGGTTTCACCGTATTGGCCAGGCTCGACTCAAACTCCTGACCTCAGATGATCCACCCGCCTCAGTCTCCAAAAGTGCTGGGGTTTACAAGCATGAGTGGGGTTTACATGCCTGCCCTAAAAATCCCAGTTTCTTAAATTTATTTAGTGGGTCACAATCAGAATTTTAAAAAAATGAACAAAATCTTCAGAATATATCATGGTAAGCATGCATTATTTTGTTAAATTTCAGGTTGGTGTGTGTGTATATTAGGTCATGATGTAAATTGGATTTTTTTTTTTTAAACGAAAGGTAAAATTTTATTGTAAATAAATCTATTCATAAGAGGGACAGGGATGGGGAATTACAGAACCTTGATTAATAAAGGCATCACCACCATCAGCACTTCTCATCGTCCCTTTATCCCCTGAAGTGTTCTTTAACTGAAGCAGTGTACCTTAATTAGATTCTGGATGTAAAATATTTCTTATGATGGCTTGTGTGTGAGCAGGTTAAAATCTGACTTTTTATGTGAACTACTGTTAATTCCAAAATGCTGAAAACTGGCTGGGTGTGGTGGCTCACACCTGTAATCCCAGCACTTTGGGAGACCAAGGTAGGTGACTACCTGAGGTCAGGAGTTCAAGGCCAGCCTGGGCAACATGGTGAAACTCCACCTCTACTAAACACACACACACACACACACACACACACACACAGATTAGCCAGGTGTGGTGGCACATGGCTATAATCCCAGCTACCTTGGGAGGCTGAGGCATTAGCATCACTTGAACCTGGGAGACGGAGGTTGCAGTGAGCTCAGATTGTGCCACTGCACTTCAGCCTGGGCAACAGAGAGACTCTGTCTTAAAAAAAACCCCACTATAATTAAAAAGGAGGTAATGAGGCCCTGGCACTGTGTTCATGCCTGTAATTTCAGTAATTTGGGAAGCCAAGGTGGGAGGACTGCTTTAGCCCAGGAGTTTGACACCAGCCTTGGCCACACAGGGAAACCCCGTCTCTACAAAAAATGCAAAACTAGTTGGGTGTGGTGGTGATGCCTACAGTCACAGCAAGTTGGGAGGCTGAGGTGGGAGAATCACTTGAGCCTAGGAGGCAGAGGCTGCAGTGAACTAAGATCGCGCCATTGCACTCTAACCTGGGTGACACAGTGAGAGCCTGCTTTAAAAAAAAAAAAAAGGAGGTAATGAAACTGAAAACAACCCACTGTAGAGCTGGAGGCTACTGCCCAGTTTCTGACTTCTGACGTGCATGCTTACTTTGCAGATGTCTCTCAGCTAAACAAAATCTCCTAACACAGCATGCAAAGGGTGATGCAAAAATAGTTTATTATGATATAGTTTATGTATAGTTAGGTAATATTTACAAAATAAAAACAATCAGCTACATCCAGGGAATCTAGCATGTCACACAAAGGAATAAATATTCTGACAAAGTAACACTTCCAATTATAGTGAACAGTTGATCACAAACATTGTTAAAAAAAAAAAAAGCCTCAAAATTTCCCTTCCCCTCTATGCTCCCCACCCTCAAAAGAGAGCAGCAGCTCAGCAAGTCAGGCATTCTCCAGATCCTGGCCTGACGGAGGGTGGCCACCCCACCCCGGGGCTCCACTTCTCATACGCGAGTGCTGCGCTGGAACCTGGGGAGGCCGGACTCATTCAGCCCTTTCTTCTGCACATGGCTTTTAGTCTGTTAAGCGTTACCATTTAGTATTAGAACAGAAATGAAATGCCAGTTAGAATTGTACAAGCTGCTTCTTTTATCATGTGACAGAACGTTTCTCAGAACCACTGGACTCACAAGCTGCGGCGGAGGTGACGGAAGCATTGCTACTCGGTCACACACAGCGCCCCAACTTGGCACAGTACGTTTTGTCTTTGATAACAAATTGAGACTTTCACCCTGACAGAAGGGCATATTTGTGAGAAAAATCATTAACTGTAATTGTTGAGGAGCCACTTGGATGCCTTCTACCTTTTATAAATATTACCCTAGGAAAGCCACATGAAATAATTCTTACACTTAACTGGTTTTGAATCCTAACAGTAAGTCAGTAAATAAGTGGTTAATACTAAAGGTAAATCCTAAAATCCTTTAAAATCCATTTTAATTGAAGCTTGTGATATAATCATAACACAGTAGTGAACTGAGTGTTCTTCACAATCTATTCCTAGCCGTCTATAAAATAAAACTAAGTATGTGACGCCACTAACTTCTCAAGGGGGTTGTGGGGGCGGGGAGTGACAGGCGTGACTCTGAGGCTGCAGGCGCTGTGTGTGTGTGTGTGTGTGTGTGTGTGTGTGTGTGTGTGTCTGCACTTCCACAACACCCTTTCCTCAGGTGGCTGAGCTGTGCCTGGGGAAGGCTCCCACTGAGGCCGTGCCCGAGGAGCATGTGGTGTCCACCACTTGCGACTTGCCCTCCCAGGCCATCCTACAGTACTGGAGTCTCCAATTCTTAAGTATTCTGTAACTCAATGTTTCCTTACCAATTTGACAAAAATACATGTTGCAAAAAAAAAAAAAAAAAAAAAAAAAAAAAAGCTGCATCTAACTTCTGCAGCCTCCATGGAATTCTAGGATATGACCAAGGGGCTCGGGAATTCAAACAGCTCTGGTGCTGTGCACAGAGCCCTGCCCAGTGAGTGGTCTTGAAGCTTCTCAGAAACCACACATTTCGACCCCAATCCCAGAACCGTGCCTTAACCAAGTCTCCCTATGATAGCCTTACGTTACTGTGCAGAAGTCTGGTCAAGACGGGGCTATCATTTTCTTCATTTTCCTTGAGGACTCTGGCTCTACCAAGAACAGGCAATACAGAATTCTTTCAATGAAAACAATGTATGGATACAGGGCTATCGCTTTTTTAGATAATGTATACATTCTTTAAAGACATCTACTAAATGGCCAAACCTTTTACAAATACTTAGCAGTCATTAAAAACATTTCCTTATAATGCTGGGGGGGGGGGGTTCAATGGTACACTTAATTCTGTTCTCCCTATCTTAAAAAGGGGTGTCTAAGATTTTTTTTAAAAACCCATACAAACTTTGTCACAAAAATCCCTGCAGTGACTTCTCAGTAATATTTACATGGATTACTCTGAATAATATACAGGTTATTTTGAAGAAAATAAACACAGCTGCTTTTAAATACAGAGAAATTGCAAGCTACACCAAGCATGCAGTAGCTTTAAGTATTCACAAAGTACTGCACCCAAATACCTAAGGACTCGAACCCAAGGTGTGTTCAGATAGAAACGTGTCCCATCTATAGGGATGATCTAGTGTTGAGCCAGACTCCCCTACCCTGCCAAGAGTCTTTTCTTTTGTTGAAGAATTTCAGAGAAGGGAGATGTCTTCCCTTTACAGAGAAGCAAGAATACTTGAAGCTCACAGTTCTGAAAAGGGCAAGAGAATAAGCAGGGTTTTGTCCCTGGCAGACAAAATTTGAGAGAACTGATAATGTTCCTTTCCATACTGGGTTTATGTCAGGCTTTCCTTTTAAAGGGCCTACGGCGCTGTGTCACTAGCCTTCAGCTTAGGCGGGTTCTTACTGCCCTCAGCTGTGGACACATGCCCTTGCTGAAAGCTGTCAGCACAAGTGTGTAAACGCAACTGTACGAAGGTACAATGAACAGCCACCTCTAAGGGGAGGCAGCAGAACCACCTGCCGTAGCTGCTGTGCAAGGAAGAACGCCCGTCTTGGAACGTTCTGCTGCTTGGCACTGAGGACCGTGGTGGCCTTCACCTTTCAATGTGAAGATGACCTTTCATGTGATCACAAATCTAGTATCTGAGGAGTTTATACCTTTAAAGAGGGTGGCGAGGAGAAGCCAGAGGCAAGAAGGAGTGTGCTTGCACATGGCCAACCTCCAAGCCCAAAGTGCTTGGAAAACCCACGTGCAGTTGCTGAGTATTTACCCACTGGAGACATGAGCGGGCTAGGAAGCTCTCTTCAGAAGAATGCTGGAGGGCAGAAAAGCCCAGGAAGGTGAAAGGTGGGAAAACACTGTGCAGATGCCTAAAATTTAAGGAGTTTTTGAATAAGCAAGTTCCCAGCAGCTTTTGTCCTAAGTCCTTTTAGAAAGCCGGGAGGGCTGTTTTGCCAACACACTGAGAAACTTCCATCATCTCAGCTGAAAGGAGAAAACAGGGCTGATCCCAGCTTGCAGGAAAAGAGAATCGAAACATTGTCTCTACCTAGTGCTCCAACATGGACCTTAGGGCAAGTTACAATCCGGTTATAAAGCAAATTCCTTGTACATCAGACCAATGACTCCCGTAGCCAGGAATTTTATCTCATACCTTAAAATGAATAAAGGTCCCAGGAAGGTGAAACTTCTCATCAACACAGCAATTTTTCTTTGAAATTTCAACATTAAATTCCTTTGAAGTATAATATCATTTCCATTCTTCATAAAACTTTGAAAATACTTAATTTCTTTCTCCCTTAGTGACAAAGGGGTCACATTTTTTTTTTTTTAAACTGTATCTTATAAAGGAAAGTCTATAAATTCCAAGCCTTTAGGACCATGTTGAACAAATTCTTCTTTTCAGGAAAAATAAATGCTGATGGGTCACATTAAGGGTGGCTGTCTTGGAACTTCGGCAAGTGAGTGAATGAGTAGCTGGGAGAAAGGGGCATGTGGCCAGACATTAAAGTCACCCAACATACAAAGGAGCAGGGGACAGAAGAGCTTCCTCCACATCCCAAATTAGACTGCAGGTCATATTCAAAGTCTAGTCGGCCAAATAAGACTGTGTAGGGACCTGGCTGCCAACAGGGACCCCACACAGGGTGGCCTTGGCCTCCAGGGCCCTGAACATCTGGCGGGCTCTGCTCTGTGTCCCAGCTCCATGGCACTTGGCAGCCTCCCAGGAGATGGCCAGGCGGGAGTGATGATCCGGACTGTGTTCAATGCTCAGCATGTTTCCATGGACCCAAGAGTTAACAGCCCTATCTACCTCCGTAGTAAAATGAATGGTAGTAAATACATTCCATAAAAATGTTTTTCAGGCCATCAGTTTTGTTTCTGGCCTCATCTGTCGGTATTCCTTTCGGGTTCTTTTAACAGCCGAAATGCCCTCTTCTCCCTGTATGGCCTGCGTGACCTGGAGGGTAGGGGAGTGACGGGAGCCAGTGGCTGCTGCAGGAACAGGTTCTTCCTGGCCTTCTACATCACTCAGCAGCCTGCGGGGCCTAGCTCTCATGCTCTTCTGCCTTCATACTTGCTGAATCTGAAGGCGAGATCCCCTCCGATGTGACCTTTTGTTCAATAAACCCCCATGCTCTCGATGCTGTCTCCTCTAGTCCCCCTGGGACGTCCACTGCCTCACCCGCGGAGCACAGGCCATTGACTCCCTGAAGCAGCGGCTTTCAGCTCACAGGGCAGTGCACTGTCTGCCTCCACCCCTGCCCAATGACCTGCTCGGACCTGGGAGGCTGTGGACAGCGTGTCCTCTGGAATGCTGGTCTCCACACCTGCTTGGGGCTGGGGCACCACATGTGATAAAGAAACTGACCAGCAGAAAGTGACTATTCTACATGTGCATGCGTGCACACAAGGTAATCACGCACATGCCCGAAAAAAACTCAACGAGAGTTAACCTGCCCCGCTTTCCCGTTAATATGTGCGGCATGGCTTACCAGCACGTGCTAGCATACTACACATAAGTACATTTATAGGAAAATAATTAAAATGCAGAAGTCTATTTGAACATCTTCCTCATCGATGAAGCTGGGAAAGCTCACTATCTTGTGCCAAGGAGCAGCCTGAGACCCCACTTGCAGCTGCCCTTAAGAGGACCTTCCTCTCCCCATACAGAAACCAATTCTACTTCTTCACTGTTCTTTCTTCTCCGTGGAATTCAGGGGCTAAATCCTTTCCAGGGTATTTGGATGCCTTCAGGAAGGAAACTGGAGGAGAGCGCCCAGCCCTGTGCAGCGCGAGGCTCCCTGCCCAGTGTGGCAGCAGTTGACGCCTGTGCCAGTGTTGCTACCTGGGCAAGTCTCTGTTCCTGGGGCATGTCCAGGAACATGAAGAACTTCATCCTCTTTCTTGCCTGGTTCACTCCATCCAAAGGATGTAGTCCACCAGCAGGGAACCCAGACTTCCTTGACCCAGTTTGTGGCTGTCCCTATGTGAGGGCATTTTCAGGAGCCCTTAGCAAAGGGGCCTTTGTTAGAACAGCCAGAGAGTACCTCCCCACCTGTTCTCTACTGGCATAGCAGCCTCAGCCTGTTTCCTGGCAATACCCTACACTAAACCAGCCCCTGGGGGAGAGGCCTGCAGCAGAGGAATGCAGATGTCCAGCTGGTCTGTCTCTGGCTCCTCACAGGCTGCACTCATATTAATTTTTTAGGATTCCTGAAGTCCAGCCTCAAGGGGTAAGTGATGGAAAAAAGTGAATCAAATGCTCTTTGGCCTATGGGAAAACTTGCTTTAATTTAAAGAACTGCGAGGGCTGAAGGCAGACAGATCCTGTCTCTAAGCACAGACTCTGCCCAGAAACCCCTGGAGAGCAGAAGGCAGGGAGCTGTCTGCAGAAGGGCTAGTGGGTCTGTACCCAGGGGCAGCAGGGATGGTTACAAAGGAAACCATGCCAGGCAGGGAAGGTGGTGGACCTCAGAGAGTGACACAAAGTCAGAGCATCCAGATACCAGGCAAAACCACTCCCGTCTGGTCAGATCTGAACGCACACCAGGTCCCCGTCTGTCCTGGAGCATTCGTGTCTCAGCAGTGTCCTGGAGACAACAATGGGGCTGTGGAGGACAGCTGGGTCCTGCACATTCCTTCTGTACATTCCCATCGACACAGAAAAGTGCATTTCTCAGAGCACTGCCAATCTAAATGGTCAGTGGGGTCTGATAAGTATATCTGTATTTGATATGGGGCCTCACTCTGTCACCCAGGCTGGAGTGCAGTGGCACAATCATGGCTAATTGCAGCTTCGACCTCCCAGGCTCAAGTGATCCTCCCACCTCAGCCTCCTGAGTAGCTGGGACTATAGCTGCACAACTATGCCACCTCAGATAAGTATATTTTTAAACAAATCCAATTTTCTCTTGCTGTTAACAACATGGAAGACTAGCATCAGAGGAGCAAAAGTGTGGGTTAAGACCCTTAAAAACTTGTGGAAAGGGCTCAACGCCTATGGAGAACACTTTGTTATTCCAGTGAGAAGAGAGCACCTAAACCCGGGTCTTAAAACATATGAAAACTCCAGGCCTTGCTTCCTGCCCTTCTGCACAGTAGGGGTGGGGCCAGAGCGCCACAGATGGCCTTGCTTATGACTTTAATCAAGAAACTGAGCAATCGGATTTCTACATTTCTACCCTCCAAAGCATCCATACATCCACAGAGACCACCACACCAACTCAAGCATGAATACGAAGTGAAAGCATGCTCCTGGTATGAAAACCGTCTGCTCACACCCCACTGAGCTGCTAAAGTAGCAGAACCTGTTCCACCAGCCAGGGCTTTGTTTACACTCCTGATCTTAATGGGAATAATGGTTTTCATAGGGCCGAAATAGAGACTCCAATTTAAGAGATTTTCAAGAATTGCTATAGAATCTTTTGTGGCAGTTAAAAAGGCCTTCCTCAAACTGTTAGAAAAAGCAAAATTGTTAGTATAGGTTTAGTTTAACTAGGCCCTTTTAAAGATAAATGCTGCAAGATAGGTTTCCAGAGCTCAGATTGATTATGAAAGTTAAGATCAGAGTCTTAAAACACACTAATGGGCTGTTCTCATCAGGTTCTGACATCCTCTGTACCTTCTTCTTGACTTAACAGGGGTCTCTTCTCAACCTTTTCCAAAGCAATGACAGTTTCTTCTCCAAAAGGTGAAAAAAAAACTCAAACCCCAAACCTTCCCCTATTTGAATGATTCCTGGAGGGAATTCATCATTTTTTGCAGTTAGAGTCTGAAACCCAGGCTGCACGTCAACAATCTTGAGTAGTTATGAAAAGACCAGGGTTACTGGAGACCAAGAAAAGAACGAGCGAAAAAAGGAAGAAAGGAAGGAGAGGGGCCGGGGATTTTGTGCAAGATTTAATAAAAAACAAACAAAAATAGGAATGGTTGCTTTCAACATTTTCCAGGTTGTGAAAGGTTTGCCATGATTATCAGGGGTGTGGTTCTAAGCTGCATCAGTGGAACAAATACAAAATGCTGTCCTCCTCCCAGGCCGGAAGGCAGCGCACCTCCTCCTCTAACAGCCAGACTGGTGGGTGAGGAGTCAGTGCTGTGACCCAGGCCAAGCTGGAGTGTCCGCACGGCTTTTTCTCTGACCATTCCATCTACCTTGACGCATGCTGGCTGGGCCCTGTTTCCACACCAGCGCGTGGTGAGACAGGGTAGCTTATCAACAGGCTGTTGGGCCTTAATACTGACAGTGAGTGCGGCGGGTCACAGCCAGGAAGGGACTAACATAGATGCCCTCCCAGCCCCCAGTGCTGGCCTAATTTTACAATACCATGGAAAAAAGCTTTGATGAAAACAGGAAGTCAACACAGCAGAGTGGTGTGGACAACCCAGAAGCCAGCCTCACGCATTTCATGCCCACAGTTAACGATGACAACAGCAATAATAATAATAAAACAAAGGTACAGGTGAAAAGCAGCGCTCAGGGTGTCCTGCTGCAAGCTGGGGAAGGCGCGTGCTCAACTTGGATGGGACACAGCTAGTCTTTCTTCAAGTCCCTGGATTCAAAGAGCTTCAACCGTTCTTGCACCGTTAGGCCTTCCTTCAGACTCTGGGTGGAGACAGAGCAGGAGAAAATAAACACACCGTTAGATCCCCTGCATCGGACCAGACCAGACCAGACCGGACTGCTGGTGGAGCAGGCATCGGTCAGAGAGCCGGGTACAGGTGCAGTTAGTGGGCATGCCAGGAGGAGAGGCCTGGGGAAATGCTGTTATTGGTGGAGGATGTTTTCCCCTTCAGAAAATTACTTGGACGAAAAAGGAAAAAAATCAGAGGACAAGACCATGTGTTTAAAGCAGCTAAATTCTGAGCTTTGGGCTCTTTAGACAAGCAGTGATCAGACAAATTCAGCCAGGGAAAACAGTGCAATGAGCGAGGAGACTGCCCATCCCTGTGTCTTGTCCTGTGTGTGGATTTGTCCGCATTCAGCTCCTGAGAGATTCTTTACCTGACAGCCTCAGCTGAGGAGGGTACAGGGGTCTCACAGTAGCCAGTCTTGCCGAGGGCCTGGGTAGACATCTGGTTACCCTTGAAGGGGCTGGGACCCAGCCAGGCAGGCAGCCCTGAGCCCTAAGTGTTACTCAGAGGCAGGCCCCCGGAGCATGGCTGGGGGAGGTCACTATCACATTCCGCTTCCTGCTGGCTGTGAGTTTGATCACTCCTAAGGCCTGGATTTGCTCCTTGCAGGCACTGCATCAGAAGCCCCAGAATCCTCCTACAGCAGGCCCAGGGAGGGGAACACCCTGACAGCCGCCCCAGTGACAAGGGCAGAGCTCAGGCTCGGGTGATGCTGGGCTTGCTACAATTTCAAGGGTGGGAAGGCAGTGAAACCCCTTACACTATCCCCACACTGGCTGCAGGAGGCTGTTTCTCTCTCTATATCCTCTGGCTTCTCTCCTGGTGGCTGTTCAGCCCAAGGACTCCAATACAGGTTTGGCTGCCATGCCTGGCCCTCAGGGTTCAGCCAGCTCCCTCTGGGGCTCATCTCCCCCTTGGCTGGCCTCTCCACTGAGTGCCTCCAGCAGCACCATATACTGAGCTGACCACAGACACAGGGCCCCCTAAGAGCCCTGAGGGATTCTCAATCCAAGAAATGGGGTCTCAATCCCAGAAATGGCTATGCTGCTCTTAAGCAACTTGCTGGCTTCGATTTTGTAGCAGCTGAGACTTGCAGTCCTTTTGAGTGAGGCACGACAGAAAAACAGAACAGAACGAAAGACACAGATCAGTGCACATCAGATGCCATATCAAAAAACACCAATGAGAAAGTATAGTTTCTGGGCAACTTCATGCCTGTCTTCTTGAAGGGTTGGGTGGAGTCTTCATATACAGCTGAGGAAAAGGATGACACCCACCTGTGCCTGTGCCTCCTAATGTGTCCTGGGAGCGCCAGCATGGCCCCATCCTGCCCCGTTGCATCTATGAAGTCCTCATCTTTCTGCTGGGGCCAGCAGGACTGGCCTTGCACTCCAAGGGCTTTATTACAGAAACACAGCCAAGCCAAATACCAGCTTAAAAACACTTCAGGAGGACCCCATCCAGGGGTTTCTCTCCTTTGGGGTCCAGGTAGTCTGCTCCCTCATCCCTGCTCTAGCTGGTTCTCGGCCGCTGTGAGAATCCCCCACCCATTCACTACAGAGAGTTACTGTCAGGGGCCCAGGAAGGGTCTTGTCAGTGAAAGCCGGTTCCCTACCCTGAGTGTAACTTATAGGCATGGTCCAAAAACCCAAATCACTAATAGTGAGCTTCAAACTCCTTCAAGAAAAGCTCAAAGAAACTAGCTATAGCCGGGCGTGGTGGCTCAAGCCTGTAATCCCAGCACTTTGGGAGGCCGAGGCGGGCGGATCACAAGGTCAAGAGATCGAGACCATCCTGGTCAACATGGTGAAACCCCGTCTTTACTAAAAATACAAAAAATTAGCTGGGCATGGTGGCGCATGCCTGTAATCCCAGCTACTCAGGAGGCTGAGGCAGGAGAATTGCCTGAACCCAGGAGGCGGAGGTTGCGGTGAGCCGAGATCGCGCCATTGCACTCCAGCCTGGGTAACAAGAGCGAAACTCCATCTCAAAAAAAAAACGAAAAAAACTAGCTATAGTCTCAAAGAAGAAGCAGAATTTTCAGTAAGAAAACCGTGAACCGAAAAAGAATGTTTCCTTTTGCTAAACAAAATGTTCTTTATGTTTAAAGAAAAATGCCCGGCCGGGCGCGGTGGCTCAAGCCTGTAATCCCAGCACTTTGGGAGGCCAAGGCGGGTGGATCACGAGTTCGAGAGATTGAGACCATCCTGGTCAACATGGTGAAACCTCGTCTTACTAAAAATACAAAAAAATTAGCTGGGCATGGTGGCACGTGCCTGTAATCCCAGCTACTCAGGAGGCTGAGGTGGGAGAATTGCCTGAACCCAGGAGGCGGAGGTTGCAGTGAGCCGAGATTGCGCCATTGCACTCCAGCCTGGGTAACAAGAGCGAAACTCCGTCTCAAAGAAAAACAAAAACAAAAAACAAACAAACAAAAAACGCCCAAGCTAAATTTTTGATCAAACCTAAACCATGTTTGGGTATAGGTGACTTAGGACTGTAGAAAAATAAAACTGACTAGGCTCAACTCTTCAGCCAAGCCTCAGGCCAAGTCCCTCAGCTGGCACAGTGCTGTGGGCGCACCTGGGAAAGGGCCCGTGTGGGCAGGACGATGTGGTTCCTGCTTTCTTTCACCTTCTCATCCCAGAATGAGAGAGATCAAGCCACTGAGCTGGCAACCATTCAGTCTCAGGGTGTCTCCCACCATGGGCCTGCCCCCCCTTCCTCTCTGGGATAGGGCCTTCAGTGGCACCTAATGAGAAGCTTTTGTTTTGTTTAAAAAACATACTAGTAAATATTTAGCCCCTGTTGCTTGCAGTTATCATGCTCTTCTGAACCACCTGCATGAAGCTCTAGTCCTGATTTATCCGTTCCTAGAATGACTGGCCTGTTAGCCCTGAGAGACAGAGGCCACTAAGTGGCTCACTAGGTGGGCAAGGCCTTTGGTGACGGTGGACTTTGCTTGCCAGCGTGGGTATCTGTCAACTCCACCTTGTGAGAGAGGGCAGGACAGGTGTCCCCTAAGAGGGTAGAGTGAGTTCAGCCATTGTGCACAGATTACCCAACATGCATGCTGATGGGTGCCTACCTCTTTGCTGGCATGGCCACCAGGCTTGGGGAGTGCCTCACTGCCCGGGTTAACTCTGTTTAGAGGTTAGAGTGCCAATTAACTTCCCAGAGCAGGTTAAAGAAACCTCACTTGGATTTGGTATGTATTTGTTGGAGCAGGATGAATTGAAATAAAGTAACCATGACGCAGGCGTTTGCCATGGAGGTGTGAGCAGTGCATGCAGGCGGTGGGAGAGGTGGTTTACCTCCTGCATGGGCCGGGAAGCGGGTGCATTTCAGGTATCCCACGAGACCTGCTCAATTACGGACTGTCAGAGGAGAGAGCAGACATGAGACACACAACCAATCCCAAACACACGTGGTGCCGCTCCCACCTCCGCCCGCCCTCCTGTGCCCGCCCAGCTCTGGACAGCACACTAAAAATGTGCTGCTTCCTGGCTGGGGAAGGAGAGCAGACAGCATCCTCTCTTGGAGGCGGCACCAGTGTCACAACAGTGATGTGCAAGAAACAATACAACACAGGCACAGCTGACAGCAGGCCGACACGAGCGGGGCTGGGTGAAACCTGGTCTTGAGGCAGGAGCCAACCACACCAAGCACTGCTCCTCACAGCCCTGGCCTCTCAGTGTCGCTGCCAGGAGGCGGCTCCAAGACAGAGACAAAGCTCAAAGCCACCAGAACCAGCCCAGCAGGGTGAGCTTGGGGCTGGCTGAGTGCTGGGCTCTGGGGCTTTGCAGCTGTGGCCCACAGGAGCACCCAGACTTCAATTTGGGCTCTTCTCCCAGTGTCCTCAAGCTTCTCCCACCAGGGGCTGGACCCCAGACTCACCTTGGACCTGATGTTTCTGAGTTGCCGGGCGACACAGGATCTGTCTTTCTTCAAGAAGTCAGGGTTGCTTTTAGATTTCATTATATCTGAGGTACATAATGAAAACAAACAGACCTGTTATCTTTGCTTTCTGAAATCCTCTGGAATCAGATTGAATCCTGAAACATTTCCCAAGCTTCCCACTGCAGCATACTTATGACGCTTCCTTAAACAACTCTAAGGGAGGCCAGGTGCGGTGGCTCACACCTGTAATCCCAGCACTTTGGGAAGCCAAAGTGGGTGGATCACGAGGTCAGGAGTTCAAGAGCAGCCTGGCCAACATAGTGAAACCCCGTCTCTACTAAAAATACAAATTAGCTGGGAGTGGTGGCGTGTGCCTGTAGTCCCAGATACTCGGGAGGCTGAGGCGGGAGAACCGCTTGACCCTGGGAGACAGAGGCTGTAGTGAGCCGAGATCGCACCACTGTACTCCAGCCTGGGTGACAGAGCAGGACTCTGTCTCAAAAAACAAACAAACAACAAACTCTAAGGGAATTCAAAGCTAACAACCATAAAACACGCTAGATCTCTTCAGACCACCATAAAACACCAGCACAATGGGAGAATGGGTATGTGGGGTGCCACCAGGGCTTCCTGTAGTACGACTGTAGCCCAGAACAGCATTCCCTCCAAAGGGACTTGGTCCCCTCATTCTGGTGTAGAACCTCAATGCTGAGCAGACTCTACCCTCATTATCTATGATTCTCCACTTTCCTCCTGCTAGCACAGGGCTGTCTAAAGCAAGATGGTAAGGCCAAGGCCTTCTTATCATCCACCCACCCAACATCGTCCACCCACCCAGACAGCAGTCCTTTAGGCTTCTTACAAATGTCTACTTAAATACCTGCAACACAAATGTATATTGAGTCATAGCATACACCCTGTGCATGTGAGTTTTTTATCTATTTCTTTTTTTTTTTTTTTTTGAGACAGAGTCTCACTCTGTCGCCAGGCACCAGGCTGGAGTGCAGTGGTGCGATCTCGGCTCACTGCAATCTCCCCCTCCCAGGTTTAAGCAATTCTCCTGCCTCAGCCTCCTGAGTAGCTAGGACTATAGGCTCACGCCACCATGCCCAGCTAATTTTTGTATTTTTAGTAGAGATGGGGTTTCACCATGTTGGCCACGATAGTCTTGATCTCTTGACCTCGTGATCTGCCCACCTCAGCCTCCCAAAGTGCTGGGATTACAGGTGTGAGCCACCACACCCGGCCTTCTCTGTTTCTTTTAAGAGACAGATTCTTGCTGTTGCCCAGGCTGGAATGCAGTGCCTATTCATAGGTGTGATTCCACTACAGCTCAGCACAGGTGGTTTTTTTTTTTTTTTTTTTTTTCTTAAGGCAGGGTCTCATTCTGTCACCCAGGCTGGAGTGTAAGCAGGGCAGTCAGGGGTCACTACCACTTCTACCTCCTGGGCTCAAGTGATCCTTCTACCTCAGCCTCCCAAGTAGCTGAGACTACAGGTGCATGCTAGCAATCCTGGCTCATTTTTTCTATTTTTTGTATAGACAGGGTTTTGCCATATTGCCCAGGCTGGTCTTGAACTCCTGAGGTCAAGTGATTTGGCCACCTCAGCTTCCCAAGGTGCTGCGATTACAGCTGTGAGCCACTGTGCCTGGTCAGCACAGGAGTTTTGATCTGTTTCACTTTGACCTGAGACAGTTCACCTCTCCTTAGGTAACCTGGTGGTCACCGTATTGATAGCAAACTTAGTGTGGACACCTGATTGACTCAGCTTGGTGCACGACTGCCCAGAACTGCTGGGCTCAAGTGATCCTCCCACCTCAGCCTCTTGGGAAGCCAGGCCTACCACCATGCCTGACTACTCAATGTATTTATGGAAAAATGATTCTTCCTCCCAGCATCTGTCAATACCATCATAATCACTATTTCTTGCCTGACAGAAAAAAAGCTGATTTTTTTTGGGGGGTGCTATTAGTGAGCTAGCACATCTTTTCCTGTTTGTGGGTCTTTGTATAAAAGGTCAAGATGAAGGTCAAATGAGATTATGTATGATCTGGCTGGGTGCAATGGCTCACACCTGTAATCCCAGCACTTTGGGAGGCCAATGTGGCTGGATCGCTTGAGCCCAGGAGTTTGAGACTAGACTGGGCAACATGGTGAAACCCCATCTCTATTAAAAATACAAAATTAGGGCCGGGTGCGGTGGCTCAAGCCTGTAATCCCAGCACTTTGGGAGGCCAAGGCGGGTGGATCACAAGGTCAAGAGATAGAGACCATCCTGGTCAACATGGTAAAACCCCGTCTCTACTAAAAATACAAAAAAGTAGCTGGGCATGGTGGCACATGCCTGTAATCCAAGCTACTCAGGAGGCTGAGGCAGGAGAATTGCCTGAACCCAGGAGGCGGAGGCTGCAGTGAGCCGAGATTATGCCATTGCAGTCCAGTCTAGGTAACAAGAGCGAAACTCCGTCTCAAAAAAAAAAAAAACAAAAAACAACAAAAAAAAAACAAAATTAGTCAGGTGTGGTGACACGTGCCTGTACTCCCAATAACTGGGGAGGCTGAGGTGGGAGAATCCTTGAGCCTGGAAGGTGGAGGTTGCAGTGAAACTGTGCCACTGCTTTTCAGCCTGGGAAACAGAGCAAGACCCAGTCTCAAAAAAAAAAAAAAAATTATGTATGATCTGAAAATGCTTGATAAAATGTTACCTCTTTTTTCTTTTTTAAAGATGGGGTTTTACCATGATGGCCAGGCTGGTCTTGAACGCCTGACCTCAGGTGATCCACCCACCTCGGCCTCCCAAAGTGCTAGGATTACAGGTGTGAGCCACCGTGCCCAGCCAAAATGTTACCTCTTTCATCCTCTCTGCCATCTATTTTTTACAGGGTATCTAAATGTTTTTAGCCAAGAAAAAAAAAAAGAGTCAGTCCTGTTGTTCATTCCCGAAAGCAGGGAGCTCCCTCCCATTCTCCACTCTATGGCCTTTTACAGATTTTATAGTAAAGTCCTGGGATCAAGCAACTAGCAAGAGCTACTTCTATCTAGTGGTTGGGTTCTTCAGAAAAACAAGACTTGTTATTACTTTGAAAATATTATGCTGATATTGTGGGTTCTCCCTAGAGCAATTGGCACAGTGTCCACCGCTGCGCAGGGAGCGAGGGCTGTCTGGGGCAGCCGCGTGAGGCTGGTGCTCCTACACCATGGGGATGCCTGGGTCTACAAACAGCACTGGGAAGCTTCTGCTTCGAGTCAAACACCAGTAAACCTCTACGATCAAACCCCCACAATTCCCTGAGCAATAACCCAGAGGGCATGACCTAAGGACGCACCGTATCCCGACACCGTGGCACTATCAGGGGACTTTTCCCCCAGTGCTTCTGTTGCAGCCTTGAGCTGCTCCTTCAACCTGCTGATGTCACAGTCAGCCTTAGCCTTCGCAATGCTGAGCTCTGTGTAGATGTCTTTGTACTTGTCACTAGCGTACTTCTTGTCCTTGGGAGTGAAATGACAGAATGGTAGTTATATCCAGGAAAGAGGGGCATGCACAACATGGCTTATCTCCCCGGGGGGGCTGAACATGGTAGGGAGGCTTGTTCACCTCTGTCTTCTAGAGGCAGAAAGTGGACAGAGAGGAAAAACCATGGGGCCTAAGGACACAGGCATAACCATCTGGATGTGGCCCTGAGTGCCCCAGCCCCTCCCTTGTGGGCTTCTGCCTGGAAAACTCTCCCTGCGTCTTGGATTCCCTAAGTGACTGAGTGGCCACTTCTGTCATCGTCCCTGACTCCAAGAGTCCCTGGAGAAAGCTAGGAGGCTCAAATGGAAGTCAAACCATGCCTCACTTCACAGGACTTTTCTCTGAAACATTCCTTCCAAAGCACACACAAAGCACACACACACACTGATGCTGGAGCCAGGCCAGGTAGGCTGCTCACATCCATGTTCCCACAGTACCTGCTTGCAGGCTGGTATTTTAAGAGGACTTGATTTTGGAAACCGCCTTCCTCAAAAGGGTAAAATCTGCTTCAGAAGAACCCTCGCTGAGCCCCAGCCTGAGTTCAGGAGGCTCATGTCACCTAGAGCCTGCTCCCGTACCTGCCTTCCTGTGGTGTAGTGGCCTTACCCGAAGTGCTGTCTGCAGCTCATCCTTGAGGGAGCTAATCTCCTGTTTCAAGTACTGTATTTCCGATTCCTTGACCCGCAATAAGACCTAGAATGACAGAGAGATCAGGGACCAATATTCAGGAGCAAAGGAACCTGCAGGGTCTCCAGTGCAGACTGAAGCATGCAGAGGGCTCTTCAATCACCAGTGAGCAGGGCAGCCCCATGGTGCCCAAGCATCATTTAAACACCACTCACAGCTTCAGCCTCACATACAAAAACAGGAAGAGGAAAGAAATGGCCGTGATTCCTCCCAGTGCCGAGGACTCCCTCATCAGCCTGGGGCACCATGAGAGAATCAGTTAATGTTATCACTGACACTTGTGTCACAACGCACTCAGCCTCCCCTGCCAGCCTTTTTGGTAAAGCACTCATTTAGTACAAGGCACAGGCACAGCAGACAGTGGCCTGACACCTGGCCTCAAGTTAGGAGCTGATCTCACCAAGCAGTGCTCCTCCCAGCCTTGGCTTCTCAGTGTCACTGCCAGGAGGCAGCTCCATGACAGAGACAAAGCTGAAAGCCACCGGAACAGGCCCAGCAGCGTGAGCTCTGGCTGGCTGAGTGCTGAAATTTTAGCACATTTTAGGGTGAAATTTTAACTGAATGTGGAGAAATCTTAAGCGCCCTCCTAAAAGGATACCTGATGCTCCAGAATCAATTATTCCAATGTAAAGCGAGCCTCCCTGACCTGAGCTGCAGCAACCACCTGGCTATGGAACGTGTCCTCTTGAGTGGTGTTTGTGGCATGGCAGAAATGGAGGGGAGGGAGAATGGGGAGTGAGATGGGGTCAGGATCCCCACAGCCTCTCGAAGGCTCTGCTGGGCCAGTGGCTCTCATACCACCTGGCAGCTCACTGCTCCTTGCTGCCTTGGGGTGACTTGAATCTTCCCAGGCCCTTCCACTCCTGCTGTCTTGGGTCTGTCCTTCCCACAATCCTCTAAGTCAGGGGCCATGCTGCACTCCCCTGGAGCTCTGGGATGCAGAGCTGAGTCAGGCAGGCCTGGCTCCCGATGGTACCTCCAGCTCGTAGGCATCCTTGCCCTGTGCAAGGGGTGACCCAGTGGCCTCCCCACCGCCGTCCCCAGTCAGTAGCGTCCGTAACCGTGTGATCTCTGCAGCCAGACGGTTGTTCAGCTCCTAGGGGACAGCAACACAACAGTGACACTCCAGAGCCGCCTGGGGCCAAGTTGCATGACACAACTCGGGAAGGTCATTTACCTGGGTTCTTTGTATATCTGCAGAACTGTGTAGGAAGGACCCAATCGATAACCCTTAATTCCTTTCAGTCACGATAACTAGTGTCACTCTGTTCCATGGCTGGTCCCACCTGAGCTCCTGTGGGGTCATCTTTAAGCCACAACAGAAATGAGCGGATCTAGTCCTACCTGAGTAGCCTCATACACAGCCTGGTGCAGCAGCCATGACCCCTGGGGAGGCCTCAGGTGAGAATGAGACTATGTACCCAGTCCTAAGGGGTGTCTGTGCAGGGCAGGGACACAGACGCTGCTTAATTTGGTGCCCACAGAAAAGTGAATACTGAACTAATTCTGACTCAAACCTTTCAATTAGCCAGGATTTAAATGGACCCCGATTAACCGAGGAGCAAGCAAATCTTAAGAAAAAAATCTGACAAAAATAAATGTGAGTACTAAGTTTGACCCTGAGCAGTGTCAGCTCAGTCCCTGGGGGACAGGATCTTCAAGGAGTGGGATGATCCTTCCAGGCCCTGCCCAGAAACAGTGAGCCGGAGGAGCACAGAGAAGACACCAAGACACCCGAGAGTCTAAGAAAGGGTCAAAGCAAGAGTTACTTCATGTGTAAGCAGATGGTGCACGTGGCAGTACAGCCTTGCTCCAGCTATTTGCAGGGACGTTTCTGACAACACGGATGGCCACGTTGGGTGGCAGGGTGAAGCCTTGAGGCAAGGACCACTTTGTGGCTTGGGGACTTTCATGACACTTTAAGGGTAAGGTCTGGCTCCAGCTCCAGTGTGGGCTCACCTGACTATGGGTCCACCTGATCTTGAGTTCCCCTAACTAACCTTGGGCTCACTGGCTGCAGGCTCACCTGGTTGTGGGCGTTGAGCTCCTGGTTCTCACGCTGGCACTGACGCAGGGCCTGCCGCTCAGCCTCCAGCGCCTGGGCCAGGTGGGCGTTCTCCAGGCACTTCTGAGAGTACTGCTCCGAAAGGACCTCCAGTTCCCGCTGCACTGACTGCAGCTCCTCCCTGGGGAGAGGGCAGCACTCACTCCTCTGCCCAGTTGAGGACTAGGCCTCTCGGAGGCCGGTGTCCCTCCTTGACACCAGACCAGCCAAGCAGAGGTCAGACCTGCGCAGTCTGTTGTCTTAATCAGCCTGGGTCACACAGAATAAGGAACCCCATACAGAGATGGCCCCATGCCCCTTCCTGGTCCTTTCTCACAATCTGACAGTCCTACATCCAGCACTTCTCTGGGGATGCCAGTGAGGGCAGAATCCAATCCCTGTGGCCACAGACATCCCATTTCTAGAACTCTCTTCTGACTCGGAGTTTGTTTTCAGTAAACCCACTTTTGAAGGTATCTGTGCCTGACAGCCAGGACCAGGCTCTATGCAAGACTCAGAAAACCAAGCTTCCTGAGGCTGCCCTGCCACCCTGGATCCAGGAGGGCCGTCTCTCTTGCAGGTGAACCAGGGATAAGAGGCTTCCAGGTGAGCCACCCTGCTCTGACCGAGGTAAACATGAGCCTCTACAGGGTGCCACTAACTGCTGCCAGCTCCTGAGGCAGGACCCCTGGCTTTGGCTACACTGCAAAGGCTCCTGGTAGAGCCTGAGTGCTGTGACGCTATGGCACCCAATCTGTTGGCTCCCGGCTGTGGCAGTTTTACCAAGCAAAAAGTCTACAGCAGTTATTCTGGTGTTGTTCTAGCCTCCTGCCTGTGCAGAGGGAATCAGCACATGTGCAGTTTTTTTGGTTGTTGTTGTTTTTTTAAAAGACGGGGTTTCACCATGTTGGTCAGGCTGGTCTTGAACTCTCGATCTGCCCGCCTTGGCCTCCAAAGTGCTTGGATTACAGGCGTGAGCCACCACACCTGGGCAACATGTGCAGTTTTTAAATGGTAGTGATAGTTCTCACTTCTACCCCATATGACCAAGCCTGGCTGCCTAGCTTCTGGTGGGCTACGGGGCAGCTGTCGAGAAACATATGTGGGTAGCCGCTGGGATCAGCCCTGGACAAGTGGAAAGTTTAAGATTTCATTCACTTCATTTCATTCGTGGCATTTCAAGAAACAGCCTCTCTGAACAGGGGAGACCCTTCTTGGGTCATATCCTGCACTGGACAGGAGGACATCTGAGCTGCCCTCAGCATCCATGGGCCCCGGGCCTCAACTCTCAAGAGGCCTCTGCAAAGACACAGGAAGGGCCCAACTTCGGCCTGGCCAGCCACTCCCCAGGGGCCCTCCCGAGGGTAGATGGGCAGGCCTAGCCACTTACAGATACTGGCGCCGCAAGGCCTCAACGTCTGAGTTGACGCTGCTGATCTGGGACCGCTGGCTCTTCTCCAGCTCCCGCTCCATCTCCTCCCGGTGGGCGTTCTTCATGGCTTCGATGGCTGCAGGCAAGAACAAGGCTTCAGCACCAATGGGCCCTGCCCTTCCCCATGAAGAGGGTGGGAGTGGGGACCTCCACACAATGGGGTAGTGCCTGCCACTGCTGCTGCTTGCTTAGTCAATCAGCAGTCGGATTTTGCCTGACAGGCTAGCTCCTCACAAACCAATTCTCTGAGGTGAGTGGAGGCTGGGAGGATTCTCCATGAACTCCTCCTGGAAGGAAAGGAATGCACATTTGGCTTTGTGTGTGTGCGTGTGTGTGTGTGTGTGTGTGTGTGCGCGTGTGTGTTAGAAGAAAACCAAACTGATTAAATAAATGTCTCTGTTCAATTCCAACATGAGTTTATAAAACAAGCAAGCTTTTGTGCTGGTGTATTTTCTTCCTTAGCACTAAAGTAACCAACCACTGAGGTGGCAATTACATAAAGGGAAGGCAGCGCAAGGCGGAAGGGATGTGCTTGTTCAGGACCACCTGCCAGGAGGCTATGTTTCCTCACGCTGAGGGCAGGGACGCTCTGCCCAGAAGTGGTCCCACATTGACAGATGTCTGTTGGGGAAAATCACTGGCTGTATTGACACTGGTTAATCACCTGTTGGGACTGGAAAGTCACTGGTTGGGACAGCTCCCAAGCAGTGTGCAGGTTGTGTGCAGCCAGCCATGGGGGTTGCCAGGGGCTGAAGGGTGAGCTCTCAGCTTATAAGCTCTCGAAAGGCTCCTAAAATTTCAATAATGAAGCTTACATCTCAGCCAAAAGGCAATTCAAAGGCTGCCATTCCTGAGTTGTGTGTCTAGCTCAAGAAAAGCTCGCCATCCACACTGCCCTCGGGGTTACCCCACCCCCGACCTGAGATGGTGGCGGCTGTCTCCTCCGCCAGGAGGCGGTCCTTCTCCTCCCGAAGTTTCTCTAGCTCGCGCTGGTGCTGCCTCTGTAGATCTTCAATTTTCTTCTGGTGCGTTTCTTCCATTGCTGCAAACCCTCGCTCACATGTGGCCTGCAAAATGCAAAAGGGACTTTATCGACTTCTTTTTTTACCTCTAAGTTGGGGGCCTTTTAAAATAAATGAGCCAGAAATCCCACCCCATCCAGGCCCAGCTGTGACTGGGCACTCACTGAGCGTGCTCCATGTTGGGTGCCCTGAGCAGGATCCCTGGGGCTGTCTGGGGATTCTCAGCGATGCCATCAGAGCATTCAGAAAAGGGTGTTTGTTCCCAAACAACTCTATATCTTATTTCTGTGATTGTCCTGTGCCCCATTTCTTCCTGGGAGAAGCTGGTATGTTGGGTGGGGAGAGGCTGCTATGAAATGGAAACCAGCTAATTCCCAACCTTCCTGCAGAGCTGCCAGGTGGGGCCTACAGGAAGGAGGGAGGAGAAAGCACGTGTGCAGAGGCTGGTTGTGTCTGGTTTGGAGGGACACAGTGAAAGGCCTGTCAAACAGGGATGAGGGACTCATCTGCTAGAGGGCGCCAAGGCCATTCTATAAACAGTGAGTGGCCTGGCAGGCACTGGGCTGGGGGCCTCTCAATCCACAGTGGGTTGGGAGCACAGAGTCCACTTCCAGGAGCTGGGGGCTGGGCCTTGCCACTAGCCAGCTGACAACCTCCAGCTGGTCGCTTAATGCTCCGGTGTTGACTGAGAAAATAAGATCAGGCTACAGGATCTTGTTCCTTCTAGCCTGTGTCTTCTTTCTTACTCTTCTTAGAGAAGGGCACCAATGACTTAGCACCTCTGCTAACTCTAACAAGAACATGACAGGAGACCAGCTTTCGAAGTTTGCCTGTACCTCCCTAGAGCAACACAGGCATGCCCCAGGATGGGAGCAGGCCATGCCAGGAAGCCCAGGCCTGATATCAGAGCTGTGCTTGCTAACAAAGCAGGTGAGAATGCCACACAGCTGCCAGGAAGGGTGGGTGTGCAGCTATTTTGAGCACAGAGGAATACACTTTCTGTCTAAGCCCTTTATACCGTCTGCTTCTGAGAACGGACTGGGCCTTTCACTGGGTTTCAAAAACTGGAAGAACGTGGCCACATTCCATTCTGAATTGAAGTGTAGGGGCTTTCCCACTCTGGGCTCACAGGCTCACTACTTGGTTAATCTTCTTGCATGTGGATTCAAGAAAGGATACCAAGAAATCCTATTGGCATGCCTGGGCATCTTTCTCTGGGCCCACTTTTAGTGACAACCCTCTGTGAGGGCCTCAAGCAGTATTTCCAAAGTCATGGTCAGTTTGGACTTGACTGCAACCCATGTGCTGCTCTGGGCAAATGTCTCAGCTACTGCCACCATTAACTAGACATACCATCCCCTCTCCCAGCAGCTCCACCTGGAAGCACCTGTCTCTTCCTGCCACCCTTATGCCTCAGGATGGCTGCAGGAGCTTGGAACTCTGGATCTCCTGGTCCTCAGGCCCCAAGGCTGAGCTCCTCTTTCTCCTTCCCATTTGCTTTGGTTCGTATGTTGGCTTCTCGGTTAACACATTTAACTAATAGTTGATTTTTTAAAAAAAAAAAAAAAAAAAAAAAAAGGAATACTTCGCAAATTTGCATGTCATCCTTGTGCAGGAGCCATGCTAATCTTCTCTGTATCATTCCAATTTTAGTATATGTGCCGCCAAAGCAAGTGTAACTAATATTAATAGGTCCTTTAAATCTTATTATTATTATTTTTTCCTCTGAGTCTACTTGCTTGGAAAAGTCTTATTTTGATCTGAGTGCTTTGGAATATTACGCAGATAAGAGTCAAAAATCTAACAAACACTGAGACATCTTTAGAGACCCAGTTGCTTCTTTGGAGAGAAACTATATGCTAAAAGATCTTGCAAATAAATGCTAATTTTTAAGCCAATCATTCCTGGGACCAAAAGAGGTTCCTCGGTGACTCTGCAGTGGTGGTGTGGTGGGGGCCTATGGATGTTAAAGGATGGCTGTTAGGCCAAGACCCTGTCCCCCTGACCCAAGTGGAAATCTGCATAAAGTGATGAAATCTCAAGGTGCTGTTTCCAAGTTCCGCATGTCTGCAGGGGTGGGTGAGAGCATCACACCTCGGCTGAAAGCTCCCAGGCATAGGAGGGGACACTATGCAATGGCAGCTAAGACAGCAAGGAGTGGACAGCTAGACAGCAGGAGTGGATCGTATCCAAGCCCCTAGGGGGCCTCATCCTGACCTTCACTACCTGTTTTTCCCTCCTGGGTGACACTGGCCCAGCACAATCTCTCGTCAGTTCTCAACATGAGGCACTTCTCTCCTCTCTGGCTTCTTGCTGGTGGTTTAACGACACCCGAATGGGACCTCACATGCACCTGGCTGGCTAACCTAAAGCAGCCTCACTATGGAGGGAACTCTTGTGGATGCAGACAGGAAGCAGAGCATTGCTGTGCCCAGGCCCTGCCCCGGTAGAATTTGCTGAGTGTCTGGGAAGCTGCTGGCTGCTCTGCTGCTCTAGCATGTCTGGGGTCAAAGCAAAGGTTTGTGCAATTAACTTTTCAAGGCTCAACTGGCCCCAAGGTGTACCTGTGGTGAACTGACCACAGTGTTGTCATATACACACACTTTCTAAAGACAGCTGTTGAAAGCTTCTCATGGCTCATAATGGTTTTTAAAAGGTTTTGACTAAAAGAATGGTGAAAAACAGCTTCTCTGCTCTCCTGAGAAGGTGCTCGCTGACAACCAAACCTGTGTGTCTGGCTGGGGCCAAGTATGCCACACAGAGGTGACATGCGAACTGTTTCCATTCAGAGCTAGAGAATTAAGGGGCTGGGAAACACAGACATTTGCTCCATAGTGGCTGTGGGGATATGTGGGCAGGAGCAGTGGCAGCTGCCTGGGAGTTAGAAGCTCGCTGCACAATGGTGCTGGCCATGTGTGCACCCAGCTCTGCCACTTGAGCATGGGAGGCGCCACCTGAACACAGCTTTGGAGGGGCCTTGGCATTTACTGGGGCAGCTTCCAGAGTGGGAGGAACGTAAGGACACAATATGGCAAACTGTTGAGTCTAAGGGATGACACTTGGCAGTCACACATGGTGGGTGTGGCCACAGCTACAAAGGGTGCGGCCAGAGAGCTGGGTCTCCACTCAGCTCCCCCTCCACCCCCAAGGGGACTGGCATGTCACTTTAGTGTTCCAGGACCTTAGGGGCAGAGATGTAGGACAGTTCTGGGGAAAAGCTACTTGTAGAGCTCCTGGGGAAGGGGACAGGAGTGGCTGGAGGCTGTGCTCAGTGGAAAAGCTCTTCTGACCAGAGCACACATCAATGCCAGTTCCAGAGAGGGACCCTCCATCCAACTCTGCTCTCCTGAGATGATCAGGAGATTGCCCTCCAACCGGGCCCTGGCTCTCCAGGATGTTGCGGTGAGCACAAGGCTGTCCTCAGGCAGCTGCCTCAGATCTGGGTCTGGACTGGGCCAGGCAGGGTTCTGGGGGTGGTGCAGGAAAGAGGCAAAGCTGGCAAGGGGAGTCGGGGCTGCTCTCAGGAACACAGAGAGACTGCATTAGGGAGGCAGAGAGGCACTGGGAAGACTACATGCTCCTCTCCCACCAGGGATCCCACTGGCCCTCCGACTAGTTTTCCCAGTGGAGGATGCTGCGGGATGCTGAACAAGAGGCTGCGACCACACCATACCCAGTGAGTAGAGGGACGGCAGCACATCCCCTCAATTCTGCCTGCACAGTAGCTGAGCCAGATGCCCCCACACCCACACCCCCATTATCAAGGAGGATCTGCTTTGCAAATTGAATGGTGTGTTAAGACCTTAAGGCTTTCCAAGTCCCTCTGGTACTTCTCGCGCAGGGTGGCCGCATCGCCCTCCAGATCTTTGTATCCCAGCTCCTCCCGCATGACGTCCATCTGGGCCTCCAGCTCCTGGATGCGCTCCCTCAGCCCCGTCATGGAGTCAGCCTCCCCCTGGGTGGCCTGCCAGTGGGGGGCAGGGGCCGGCAGGGCTTTGGGGTGCGGCCCCTGGTGGAGGCAGAGGGTGTCCTGCAGGCACCTCAGGCTCTGTGAGTAGTGCTCCTGCAGGGTTCTTAGCTCCTCCTCATGGATTGTCTGTAGCTCCCGGACCTTGAGCTGGAATCTGTCCTCCAGGGTTTGCATCTGCTCGCCATGGTGCCTCTCTACGTCCTGCCTGTCTCTGATCGAGGCGTCCAGCTGGCTCAGGACTCGGCTGCGCTCAGCCTGCAGTGTGTTCTCGGTCCTGGTCAGCTGCTCCACCACACACCGGATCTCCTCTTCGTACCTACCCCGCAGGGCGAACATGCTCATGCTGTGCTTGCTCTCCGTGTCCTCTAGACACCGCTGCTGATGGTCTAGCTGGGCAACCTTGGCCTTGAGCTCTGCATTCTCCCTTTCAATGATGGCAATCACATCCAGGTACTCGCTCTTCTGCTTGCGGAGAAGCTCCTCGTACTCCTCCCTCAGGGCCTGGGCTGCTTGTGCCTGCTCTGGGCAGGGGGTCTCCCTGGTCTGCCAGGAGTCCTTGTAGAGCTGGAGCTCCTTCTCATATTCTAGCCGGATTCTGCAGGCTGTATAGCACACCTGGGCCTGAATAATGGCATCCTGAACCAACAATGAAGAATACTGACTGAGGCCTCCCAAGCAAGTGTTATATGAGAGACTCTGGGATACCTGAAGAAGCTTCTGGCAATCTCTTAGTGATTCCACAGGTGGCAGAGAGGTTAAGGCAGCAGCTATCTCCTCTAAGAGGCTGGCCTTCTCCTTCAGCTGCTGGGCAAGCTCCTCCTGAATAGCAACAAAGGCCCTAGGGCTCTGGTCAGATGCATGAAAGGGCTCCTGAGAGCCTTCTGAGTCTTGGCCGAGGACTTCTCCTAAGGGGCTCAGGTCCCAGGACAGCTGCACACCATCTTCATGGCCCGCTGGAAGCCTGAGGGCTTCCAAGACCTGCTGCATCACTCTCTCAAAGTCTGGGGTTTGGTAGGCTCCCAGGATTTCCCTCAGCAGGTACTTGTGCTGCCGCAGGGCCGTCTGGGTGCCCCTCAGGGTCTCCTGGATGCTCTGCAGCCTGCGGTGAAATGACTCCCTCACTGACTGTGTGGCAAAGCTGAGCTCTGCCCTGACCCATGTGGCATTGGCCAGGATGGGGGCCAGGCCCTGTGGGATGCTCTGCTGCCCGCCTCCTGAGGCACTGACTGCCTCTTCTCCCAGTGTCCCCAGATGCTTCCTTAGGGACTCAACCTGGCTCCAGAACTCACCGTCCACCAGTACCTTTCTGGCCCAGGTGTCTACGGGGGCCCCAGCAGACTCCATCAGTGGCTGTCCTGACCAAGAAATCTCGTGGAGCATTCGGGAGACATCTGATGTCGTGTTCTTCAGGGAGTCTGCTATCTGGCTGATCAGTGAGGCCTCCAGAGTAATCTGATCAGAAAGAAGCCTCGCCTGCTCCTGCTCTGTCAGCTCAGGCTGGGGGCGCTGTTGCAGGGAGGCAGGCTTCCCATTCTCCTCGGTGCCACCCATCTCCAGCTGTACATGGGCCCCGCCATCAGCTGGGGCGGGCCAGCGCCGCAGGGCTTGGATGGCGCTGATGAGCGCACTCTCCACACTGGCCAGGGAGGCTGCGCACGCATCCTGCTCATCCTCCTGGCTGGCCCTAGGCAGAGATCTCAGCTGTTCTCGGCAATTTTCCAGGCACATCAGGGCCTGACTGTTCTTGACCTGGAAGTCCCCGAGCTCTCCAACATGCCCTTCAACCCTCCTGGCCCTCTCCTGCCTCTCCTGCTCCAGCTGGGAGGCCAGCGCACCAACCTGGAGCAGGCTGGCACGAAGCTGCTCACGCAGCTGGGCCTCAGTGCCTGCCCACTGGTGGTGCAGTGCGAGCAGTGCCTCACGGCTCTGACCCTGTTGGCTCTCCAGCCTCACGGTCACGTCTTTGAGCTTTTCCTCTGTGACGTAGAGCTTGGTCTCCAGGGAGTGGATGATGGAGAGGTATGTGTCAGAGTCGCCAGCTGCAGGCAGTGCACTGGGTGCAGGCTCTGAGGACATGCTTTCTTCCGAGGGTGACCGGTCCTGGCTGGTGTCAGAAGATGTGCTGCTGGTCCAGGTCTTCTCGGACCCTTCGGGGTGAATGTATCTTTGGCACTGTATTGTGGAGAACCGGATTCTTTGCCTTTTAACACCAAGTGCTCCCTGGTCGAGTTTGGTTGTACCCTGCTGATGCCCTTCCCTGTCAAGCACTTCCACTGACTTTGGGGGCACTACACTCTCTTCCCTATTGGGGCTGCCGTCGCCGTATTCCTCCCCCAGAGGACCCCCCAGGTCCTCGTCCTCATCCTCGAGCCTTGTCTGTGGAAAGGCCAGAGCGGCCCTGGTAGCTGGGACCGGATGGCCTGGGAGTAAAGTGCCGTCCCTTTCTGTCTCTTCAGGGGTGCTCCGTGGCTCTTCCATGTCCTTTGGAGACTCACTTGCAAATTTCCTTAAAATCTCTTCTTTTGCCTGGAGCTTAATTTCTGTTTCCTCTAAGCTGCTCCCCAAGGCAACCATTTTAACCAAGGCCTCATTGAGGTCCTGCTCCTTCTTCACCAGAACCTTCTCGTGGGCTTCCTTAATGTGCTCCAGCTCTTCCTCCTTCTCTCTCAGCAGAGTGTGCATGCTTTGCAGCTGGCTGGCGACCCTTTGGTAGGAGTGCTCCAGGCTCTGGTTGTCGGCCTCTCTTCTCCGCAGCTTTTCCCGGAGCTCAGCCACATCCCCATCAGACGTGGCCACACGCTCCGTCAGTTCCTGGAACCGCTGCCTGAGGAGGTCCCGCTCGTCGCAGAGGCTCTGCACATGCTCTGCGAGCCGACGCACGCTGGCCTCTCGTGCCTCCAGCTGCTCCTCCAGCTGGTGCACCTGCTCACTGCCCTCGAAAGTGGCGCTCAGCTTCTCCTTCTGCAGGGTCTCCACCTGCTGTGCCTGGCCCTGCAGCTGGTCCTCGTAGGCGCTGGCCTTGTCTTCCACCTCCTTCAGGTTCTGCAGCAATGCCTGCTTCTCCTTCTCACAGCTCTCCAGCAGCAGCTCGTAGTTTCTCTGCAGCTTCTCCTCCATCAGCCGCTGGGCCTGCTCACTGGCGCCCAGCTGCTGGCTGAGGTCGGCAATACGCTCCTGCAGCCTCTGGACCTCTTTCTGCCGGTCCCGCTGCAGCGCCTGTTGTGTCTCCAGGCCCCGTAGCTCCTGCGTCTTCTCCAGTAACAGGGCCTCGGCGCTCTTGAGTTTTTGCTCACTGGCCCTCAGCTGGCTGCTCAGTGCTGCCTCACTGTGTTGCCGCTCCTCCAGCTGCTCTCGGACCCTGCCCTGCTCCCGCTTCAGGTCGCCTTTGAGCTTGGCCAGCGCCTGCTCCTTGATGGCCAGCTCCGCGGCCGCATTACTGAGCCGTGCCTGGAGGCTGCGGATCTCAGCCTCGTGGTGTCGGATCGTGTCCTTGGCCTCCCCATAGCTACGCTTCAGGGTCTGAATCTGGTGTGTAATCTGCTCCTGGCGCTGGCACTGGGCTTCAAGCTCACTCTGAAGGTCTTGGTTGACTCTATGGAGCCTCTGCCAGGCACCCGATGGGGAGGCGGCCACTTCAGTCTTAAAAAAACCGATTAAATACTGGTTAGTAACACTCGGGCCTCCCAGTTCTGAGTGTCACACCTCTGGCCAGGAACAACCACAGAAAGCTCCTTGATGGCTTTGGCTTTTATCCTTTGCACAACTTTATTTTTTTTTCCCATTAAAAAAACCAACGAATTATCTTTTTTTTTTTTTTTTAAATAAGTAGCTGCTTCCAGGTACACAGAAAACATGGACAATAACATCAAAAAACAGCTTTAACCTTGGAGAAATAAACTAAACAAAACTGAATAATGGAACACACTGAGAAGCAAAACAAAGACTAAACAAGAGAGTGCCAGGAACAGGGACAGGTGAGAGGAGCAGAGCACCTGCAGCTGCTTGTTTTGCAACAAAAAGTACACGGTCTTGACAGCAAATCCTAAACAAGCGCAGGACGCAAGGTGTAGGCAAATGATGCCACTTCCTTCTAAGACAGGAGGAGAAGGAAGGAAGGTAACGCTCGGGAGATGTCAGCAAGGTGACATCCGAACATTTTCCTGTGTAAAGTGTAGCCAGTCCTCTAGAGTAACAGAATAACTAATCTCTACCTGTAAGAAGACAAAACGAGGGGGGGAACGGAAACCATGGAGTAAAATACGATAATCAACAAAACAAACCTTTGTGGAGTTCAAAATAAGAAAAAGTGAAGCATGCAAAAACAAAACACAACACAAATGAAACAAAACTCCCCACACTGAAAGGCATGCAGAGACAGAACTCATTAATGTAGGGGAAAAACAACACGAACAAGAGTGAGCGGAGCCCAGCCTAAGACTCTGGCCTGCCTGTAGCTCCCTCTCGGTCTGCTGGCCGGGGAAGCCACAGATGTGACACTCAGTTAAGTTCAAGTTAAACTTCACGCTTAATGTCCAAACCATGCAAGCTCCTCCCAGCAGTCAGTGCAGCACCCACCCCAGCAGCTGGCTCCTGACCCTTAACCCCATAGACCCTCTGCTCATTCTGAGTCATGAGTAAAAGCATTGCCAAAGCATAAAGGGTGGTGAAAAGTCACAAGCTATTAGATTTAGTGGGAAGGTATTAAAGACCAGCTTTGCCCAGTGCTGACTGACAGGGGCTTCAGTGTGGGCTCATGCAATCATCCAAGTTAGACCAAGAGGCAGGTTCCTAGGTTAGCAATGTGCAAAGCCCAATGCTAGTACAAATTGAATATCCTTTATTCAAAATACTTGGGACAAGAACGGTTTGGAAATATTTGCATTCTACTTACTGGCTGAGCATCCCAAATTCAAAAATCCAAGATCTGAAATGCTCCAGTGAGCATTTCCTTTGAGCATAATGTCAGCGTTCAGTTTTGGATTTTGGAGCATTTCAGATTTTCAAATTTGGGATGCTGAACCTGTATCTTTACCACCTGATTTGAAGTTAATTCTTGCAGGATGAGGCCCAATCAAGAATCAAAAAGATGCTCCCCAAATCTGGAGGGCACGCAGAAATGACCTTGGTGGGGAGGCCCACCATTATCAGGTGTGAACTAGGCATGGCAATAACTATGAAACAAAAAACTGTAGAGGAGAGTCCAGGGCACGGAGGGGAGAAGGAAAGAGAAGGTCCAGGGAGCACGTGGGAGAAAAAACAGCAGAGTCTGCAAGGATGCAGACTATGGTCAGGGGCCAGCTGAGTGCCCCTGGTCTATCTGCTGCCTGCGATGACTCAGACCAAGGTCAGTGCACTGTGTTCTGGAAATACAGACACTCATTATATGACAGAGAATCGGGGTCTAAGAGCTGGAAGGGCCCACAGGCATCACTGAGTCTAAGGCTATACAAGCAGCAGGCTGCCGCTTAGAGGAGGGGACATGTGCACTTGCTTTGGGGGTTAGTAGCAGAGCCAAGTCTTGAACTCAGGACCCTGACTGTAATGTTATAACCTCAGCCTTTGCTGAGAAATCAGGCTCCCTGTTCTGGCACCCACTTCACTTCTCCCGCAGTATTCATGCATCAGTCTCCCTACCGCAATCTCCCCTACTGCTCAATGCAGGCAGGAATATATCTGTTTTATGATCCAGTCCTGGCACAGGGCCTGGCATGCTGCAGGAAAGTCAGCACACACAGGCCTGCCCTTGGGCCAGGCTAGCTCCAGTCTTGTGACACTCCTACATCAGGGCTTGGTGGTACAGGATCTTGGTGGAGGTATACAGGGCTTGGGCTAGTAGTGGTAACAACCCCAGGTCTGCCTGCAGGAAGTGGTACGGACACAGACGGGAATGGGGTCCGGGGCCAGCTCGGCCACTGACTTACTCTTCTTGTAAGCAGGCACTGGGCTTGCTGTATGACTCAATGTCTTCAATCTGTACAACAGGCCCAATATTACTACAGTGAAAACAAGGAGAAATCACATGCATATGTATGGCATTTATAATAAATGGATACTGGCCACTTTCACAGCCAAAGGGAAAGGTCACCAAAATGATTGTATTACCAAAAAAAAAAAAGTGCTTAGATGTAGAGGTTTGACGGAGATTCCCAAAATGTCATACTGGGAGGGAAAAACAGAGCTCCCCAGCACACTGACTGCCCTGATCTCATGGCAGAAGAGCCCAGGGCCATGAGCTCCCGGGAGGCGGACCCTGCTCAGCCAAGTTTTGCACACTTCTAGCCTGCCTAAGCATGAACCCTTCACACTGAAGCTCCTGAGCGCACCATGGGCCACGGCAGCCCCTCCACCCTACCTGCAGCACGTAGCCCTCACGGGCGCTCTGCTCCCGGCCCAGGGCCACCCTCAACTGGTCCTGCAGGAGCCGGTTCTGCTCCAGAAGGTCTGAGGCCTCCTTCTGGCTCTGCTCCAGCTGTTGGCAAAAAAACACATTCTTTTGTGCAAAATGACAATGATAAACAAAGCAGCTGCACAGCACAGACTCTTCCACTGGTCTTCCCTTGTGGCCCAAGAGTTTTGGAGTCTCCACATTTCAGCAGATGTGCTAATACGGCCTTTACCTGCAGTATTTGGAAGTGAAGGTTCCAATGCAAGCCGTCAGTAAAAATGGCAGACTCAGTACCATCTGGGGACCAAGGGACTACCTTGTCCTTCCTACTCCAGGAAACCCTGGGTGCCCACATAATTCCCACACCTGCTCAAGGTTCCAAAGTGCATGCCCTATATAGATGCCAAGGCCCATACAGGGTGTGTCCACTGGGAAACAAGGGCTTTGCATCTGGAGGAAGACCACCCCATGGGGTTCTTCAGGTGTCCTCAGCTGGTCACACAGGCTAGGTTAGGCTCTACAGGGTCCACTGTGAGTGACATCCCCAAGCAGGCCTCACTTCAGGGCCCACCATGGTCTCAACCGAAACCACTGCATTTGACCAGTTTTACATGATGGATTCCACATAAAGTTCTGTTTGTAAAAAGGGTTCCCGCAGTTCCCTTAAACAAGATGTGGACACCAATCAGTAAGCTGTTTTACATTCTTCTTGCTTTCAACAGCTTCAGTTACTCATTCATCCATCTATCTCTTCCCCACACACTCCCCAGGTGCCTCCTTGTGTCTGGTTGTGTGCATGGTTACCCATCCTGCTCCCACGGCTCATGCTGAGTGGAGCTGTGTGTGTAGTGGGCAGTCAGGTCAGTGCTGCCCAGGGTGCTGCCAGGCTACACTGTGAGAGGCGGGGAGACCCCTGACTTTAATTTCTAAATTTTACTTTCTTCTGAGATGGAGTCTTGCTCTATTGCCAGCTGGAGTGCAGTGGTGCGATCTTAGCTCACTACAACCTCTGCCTCCTGGGTTCAAGACACTCTCCTGCCTCAGCTTCCCCAGTAGCTGGAATCATAAGCACACACCACCATGCCCGGCTACTTTTTGTATTTTTAGTGGAGATGGGGTTTCACCATGTTGGCCAGGATGGTCTTGATCCTTGACTGCAAGATCTGCTGGCCTCGGCCTCCCAAAGTGCTAGGATTACAGGTGTGAGCCAGTGCACCCAGCCGGCCCCTGACTTTTAAACAGTGAAGACTGACCCCCCACATTGTTGAGTCAGTGTGTCTTCTGCTGGCTGGCCTATTTTGGTAGCCTGAAGTAATGTGAGTTTCAACTGTTATTTTATTTCATCTTGCCTTTATTATTTGTTAATGGACGAGGAAAATGAAAAAGTACAAGTGTTAGTGCTGGTGTTAACTAAGCCTCACACACTTAATAAAATACAAAAAAAGATCTGAAGCGTGAGGCAGACCTAAGAGGCAAATCTTTAACAAGCGACTTATGTAAAAAAGAACACATTTGAAACAGTGTTGAAAACTGTCCCCAAATGGAGAGTGAAACAGGGAGTTCTACAAAAACCATAAAGCTATGCCTACCTGGTTACAAGACTCCCAGATCAGACATGTAAATCCACTGTGGAAGTTCTACAGACTGGCTTTCTGGATACATTTCCAAAGAACATCTTATGCTATGCATCGGGGGCTGGCTTGTTCATCTCTGTACCCAGGTGCACTAAGGGCCTCATGGAGGAGTGACAGTCACAGGGCAGCCTTCATCCATGGCCTACCTCACCTCACCACTGCCTTCTGTTTCACATCCTCATGACCTGGGACCCAGCTGCTGTCTCCTGCTGCATGACTCTGGCTTCAGCTCTGATCAGCTGCCCCAAGCCACTGGGGCTGGTCTCTGCCTCCAGCTTTGATCTGTCCAGGCCAGGGCTGCCTAGTGCAAAAGCATACCTGGCCCTGCTCACTCCCCTCCTGCCATTGGGAGGCAGAGTGAGGAAACCATCTGGGCCCTGTAAAGTGGCTTGCCTCTCAAGGGCAGTGGCCCGGACAGCAGGATAAATTTCTCTGTGCCTGGAAGTCCCGCTCCCTGCCCTGTACGCACTGGTAAGCTCTCACAGCTCTCAGGTCTGCCTCAACTATGAGAACTGATCTGTGTGTTTGTCTCCCCTAGGTCTGCAAATCTCTCGAGGGGTAGGGCTATGTAGATGAACCCTTCAGGCCACAGGTGGGCACAGCTGATATTCTGGAAAGGCTGCTGGGGCAGGGGGAGGCTCCAGCCCCAGGCTATTACCTCCTTCTCCAGCAGAGAGGTCAGCTCATGGGTGGAGAGCCGGTCACCCCCATCTTCAGAAGACAGGTGCACGGGGGCGATGGGCACCTGCTTCTCTTCCCGGAGAGGCGTGGTCTCCACCTGATGCCACCGCTGCTCTATCTCCACGTGGACGTTATGTGTTTTGAGGTCGCTCACAGGCAGCCCCGGGCTCCGGTCCACCTCCATGCGCAGGGCTGTGTCCTCAGTGCCCGGCCCGTCTGTGGAGTCGAGCATCCCGAAGCGCTTGCGGCGCTCCTCCCGCCTCCGTGCTCGCTCCCGCTCAAGCTCCCCAGGCTCTGCCTCAGGGCGCAGGGGCTCATGGGTGTCAGGAGGCCCTGTGCCACCCACCCGCTCCTGAGCCAGGGCCTGCTGGATGGGGCGGAACTCAGCCCAGTCAAAGGTCTTGGAGCGGCCTTCTCGTCTCCGCTCCCGTGCACGGCTCCTCTTCTGCTCAGGGTCAGGCTCCCCCGGCTCTGCCTCTTGCTTCTCACTCGGCCTTGGACATGTCTCAAAAGAGGAGCTGCTCTTGTTTTTTTCCTCTGGCAATGAGCTGTGGTGCAGGAGGATGGACACAGTCTGTCAGGGGCAGCTCTGGTATGGCCTGCCAGGTAGAAGCTGGCAACGCTGAGCCATGACCCAGCTGCAGACACCACATCCTTTTTCTATCCCAATCCCAGCTTCCTAAGTGCAGGCAGGACAGGAATACTCTGCCTTTACCCGACATCCCTTCCCAAACTGGTTCTGAGGGGGAGGGGAGGAGAGGGGAGGGGAGGGGAGGGGAGGAGAGGGGAGGGGAGGGGAGGGGAGGGGAGGGGAGGGGAGGGGAGGGGAGGGGAGGAGAGGGGAGGGGAGGGGAGGAGAGGGGAGGGGAGGGGAGGGGAGGGGAGGGGAGGGGAGGGGAGGGGAGGGGAGGGGAGGGGAGGGGAGGGGAAGAAAAAGAGCCTCAGAGGGCTGAGGTTTCCCAAATGATGACACTAGGAGGGTCCCTTGACTGAAGAGATGCTGTGAGGGGATCACTGTGGTGGCCCTGCTGCCAGGGTATGGAGCCAGGGGAGTCCCAGGACTCCCACAGCCTCACAGGCAGGATGGCCAGCCCTCCCTTGTTCAGGACCAAGAAATGCATCAGGCTGTACCTGGGCATAACCACTGTACCTGCCTGGTTCGAGGCCTGGCCTCTGTGCACCCCTGGACTGGACTGTGGTGAAAGAATGAGGAAAAATCAAACCTTCTCTAGAAGGGCTTAATTTTTTTTTTTTTTTTTTTTTTTTTTTTTTTTTTTTTTTTTTTTTTTTTTGAGACAGAGTTTCACTCTTGTTGCCCAGGCTGGAGTGTGATGGAATGATATTGCTCACCACAACCTCAGCCTCACATGTTCAAGCAATTCTCCTGCCTCAGCCTCCTGAGTAGCTGGGATTACAGGCATGTACCACCATGCATGGATAATGTTGTATTTTTAGTAGAGATGGGGTTTCTCACGTTGATCAGGCTGGTCTCGAACTCCCGACTTCAGGTGATCCGCCTGCCTCAGCCTCCCAAAGTGCTGGGATTACAGGCATGAACCATTGCTCCCAGCCCAGATCTGTATTTTAAAAGCCCAATCCAGCTGCTGGTATGACAGATGGATGAGTATGAAAGGCTGAGACCTCCTATGGGTATAGGAGACAGGAGGCCCAGGTGGCCATAAGCTCACACCATGCAGTAGCCAGGGGCTGGAAGGGGAAGGCAGAAGGGTAGAAGGACACTGGGTGACAAGACACCTTGAGGAGGCAAGTGGCAGTCAAGAAAGAGACATGAGCTGTGCAGGTCGTGCTTATTGGTGTCTCTACCTACTCTGCAATCAGTGGAGTTAAGCAGGTCTGCCTGAGGAATCCATGCCTATTCTCCATCTGCCAGAAGCAGAGATTCCTGGGGAGGCCTAGTCTGGAGCAGGGGAGGGACAGGGATATTACCGATGGCAATTTGGCAAAGAGGCTGAGAGTGTTTGAGGCAGAGGTTTATGGACTCTGGGGATAGGCCTCAGAGACTACCAGCTGGCCTGAGGCAGCTGTCTTGAGTGGCCCCTAGTCTTGCCTAGGCCCTCAGAAGGCAGTTGCAAGCCCACCTGGGGACAGTGAGGGCCCAAGGAGCAGTTCCAGGGAGCACATGTGTTTCAATCAGGGCCAAAGGGAAAGAAGCCTTTAAAGAGAGACCCAAGGTAAAGAGAAAATGGCTGCTGTCACCACCTCACTAGATCACTGTCTAGGCAGTGATCGAGTAAGAGGCAAAGTGTTTCAGAGCAGCAGGATCTACAGGTGCCCGCTGTAATAGCACGCTACCATCTGGATGAAAATGACACAGGGCAGATCCTGTGATGTCACCGAACTAAGAGCTCAGGCTCCTGACCACGGAGAAAGTTGGGATGACACACACGGCAAGTATACACGGAGGCCCCCAGCCGGGCCCTGACAGCAGCCAGCCACAGCCACACCAGAACTGGCCGTGCTCCCTGGGAGAAACCTCCCCACAAGCCTTCTCCAGCCCCAAAGGCGGGAAGCATCCTGCAACTTCCCCACCCCAGACTTCGAGACACTGATGAGAGCAGGACGAGGACAGCAGCTTCTGAGACTGCGATTTCTGTTTTCATGCCTCCTTGAGATTTTTCCTGGCAGTGCTAAAAAAAAAAAAAAAAAAAAAAAAAAAACACCTCACATTTTCCCTCAAATAATAAAAGCCTACAAAGAGGAAGAATAAATGCTGAGAACAAACTGGTGGAGGGTAAGCACTCTAGACTACGTAGACATGCTAGATGATGAAGTAATTCTAGTCAGGAGGCCAACTGCCAGGTTAACTTTCATATGAAAGTAAAACCCCTGGTCTTATCTGTCATACCACTGGGCCCAAAGCCCCTGCACGCAGGGAAGCAGACACTCACGTGTGGAGGCGCCTCTCCTGAGTTATGTGCAGGCACATACATGCGCACAGGTGCATTCCTGACACCGGCCCTGGGACAACCCAAAGCTGACTTCTTCCAGCCAGGATTGCTGATCCACAGCACTGAGCCCAGGCCTGGCTGGGAAGAGGGGCAGGAGAGGACCTCAGGCCAGCCAGCCCTATGCACTGCCCACCACTACCCCTCCCGGACCCCTGTAATAAGCTCTGTCTGCTGCCAACAGCCTGGGCAGAGAACTGGGGCCTTTCTCACTTTGCTCTGGGGGCTTCCTAAAGGTGCTTGGAAAAGAGTGCTTAGCTCGTCAACCTTGAGTGTCTGCTCTTGATGGGAGAGCCACGGAGGCAGTGGCTAAGGCCACCACAGGATGCGGCCCCTGGAGGGCGGGAGAGCCTGCTGCAGCTCTGGGTGCCTCCCACTGGCTGTGCATGCAGACGACTTGCCACTAACCAACAAGCCAGCTCTCTGCACAGGATCCCGAGAGACAGGGCAACCTGTCTTGGTCACAGCCTCTTGGCCTTACTAGGCAGTGTCATGAACAAATGATAGACACAGAAAAGAGGGCTAAAGGCCGGGCGCAGTGGCTCAAGCCTGTAATCCCAGCACTTTGGGAGGCCGAGGCAGGTGGATCACAGGATCAAGAGATTGAGACCATCCAGGTCAACATGGGGAAACCCCGTCTCTACTAAAAATACAAAATATTAGCTGGGCATGGTGGCGCATGCCTGTAATCCCAGCTACTCAGGAGGCTGAGGCAGGAGAATTGCCTGAACCCAGGAGGCAGAGGTTGCAGTGAGCCGAGATCGCGCCATTGCACTCCAGCCTGGGTAACGAGTGAAACTCCGTCTCAAAAAAAAAAAAAAAAAAAAAAAGAAAAGAGGGCTAAAAAGAAAATAATCAATTTAGGTTTTCTTTCCTTCTTATGCAAAGAGGTGTGGAGTCAGCAGAAAGGAGGCAAAGGTTTGTATAAAGAGTGTGCCTTTAGGCTAAGCATGGTGGCTCACACCTGTAATCCTAGAACTTTGGGAGGCCAAGGCAGGCAGATCACGAGTTCAGGTGTTTGAGCAGCCTGGCCAACATGGTGAAATCCCGTCTCAACTAAAAAATTCAAAAACTAGCCGGGCACGGTGGCAGGCACCTGTAATCCCAGTTACTCAGGAGGCTGAGGCAGAATTGCTTGAACCTGGGACATGGAGATTGCAGTGAGCTGAGATTGCGCCACTGTACTCCAGCCTGGGGGACAGAACAAGACTCTGTCTCAAAAAAAAGAACGCATCTTTAGGTCAAGGGTCCCATGGACAGCCCCTGCTGAGACATTACCACACCCAAGTAGCCTAACCCGCAGCGCAAGAAACACATTCGTGGTGTAATCTACATCACATGACCTGAGAAATGGCACCAGAGGTGCTCAGATGTGTGGAGGCTCTGAAGCCCTGAGGTGGGGAAAGCTGAGGTCTGGCCCTCATAGGACCAGTTCTCACACTGGAATCTTCTCTTTTTCTTTGTTTCTTTCTTTTTTTTTTTTTTTTGGATGTGTCTGGGTCTTCTGATTCTCTCCTTTCTTTTAAAATGACAACTAGATTTTTAACTTTCAGGGCCGGAGGAAGAAAGCCAGAAGCAAAATCTGAGGCACAGGAACCAAAGAATGCTAACATAGGAGAGGATGGTTTTTTCAACTTGGCTGCACGGAAATCAAACAGACATAGGAGTGAGGTGAAAAGAAGACCAAGACAAGACAAAGAAGTGCTGGGTGGTCTATGGATGCCGAACATGGGCCTACCCTCACACCAGCAGAGCACAAGGCCTGAGCACTGACCGTAGGGGTGGGGCTTGCCTGGCCAGGTGCCTGCTGACACAGATGGAAGATTCTCCACCAAAGCCTAGTTCTAATGACTGACACACACGCTGTCTGCAAGATGAAATCACCCAGGCTTAAAAGAGGAAAAGAACCAGAAGTATTTGTTCTGATGTGCTCGGGATAGGAACCTGAGCAACAGAGGGACACAGAAGGGAAAGAGCAGCCGACTGGGATGCACTGGGCTCAGGCCTCAGACTTCAGACTCAAGCCTGACACTGCCCTGGTGGGAGTGGTACCCACAGGAGGCACGAGGGGCTCCCCAGTATCTTCACCATCCTACCTGGTCACATCCGGGGCAGTGGTCGGGTGCACATGCTTCATGATGGTCTGGATCCAGTTCCGCCGGATCCCGGACGTCATGGCCGATAGGGTGAACTCGCCCTCCTTTGTCTACATGGGAAAGATGAGGCACCTTCAGTGACTGCTCCCTGGGGTGCCTGCTGCCCTCTACCTCCAAAGGAGCTCCCTGCATTGGGTACAAAGTCCCACAGGGAGAAAGACTGTGGCTGACTGACCCTTCTAGGAGTGCCACATGTGCCCACTACTGGGACAAGAGGGAGTTGATGAGCAGGAGACAAAGCTGTGGCAGGGATGTATATCTGTGGCAATGGTAAATCTGGTATGTTCTCTCAGTAAGGTCAACTCGCAGTTACTGAGCACCCACTATGCACCATCATCCTTCCCAGTTCAGACAGAGGACACTGGAGCCCTCTCTTTAAGGAGTTCCTAGCCTTGGGGGAAGGGCAGAATCAGCATGTGCTCAGCATGGGTGGAGGTGGGGAATGGGGAAGGGCATGCGTCTTGGGTGGCGGAAGTGGCGCCTGCAGTCCGCACCCATACAGGCACATGGCACGACAGGGATATCAGGGTCTTGGAGGCACTGAGGAAAGGCAGGGAAACCTGCTGGTTAGTTATGCAGCTGCCCAAATGATGAGAATTAAGATGATGGCAGAGAATGGGGCAGCTCAGAAGTAACAAACGGGGTATATACAGTGCCTGGCTGGCTGGGCTGGGGAGCACCTAGGACAAGCCCTGGACTCCTGCTTGAATGAGGCGGAGTCTAGGGCTTGCCCTAGGTACTTGTCCAAGGTGGTGGGGTGGGAGAGACTGTTCTGGGTGGGGATGGGGTAGCAGGTAGGACAAAGAAGCAAAGAGCACATGGCTCTATGACATGACCATTGGACCCCTGAGCAGCCCTGCCTGGGTACCTTTGGAAAGGGGAGGGCCAAGTGGTCTGCATGGAGCTGGAGGCCAGCTACTGCACCTACAGGCACCTGCCCAACAGAAGTGAGGGCTGCAGCCCTGAACTGAGAGCTGCTCACAAGCAGACTCAGCAGCCAGGTCAGCAGGGAAGCTGATGGCAGGATGCACTCAAGGGGACAGTTTTCAGATGGCTGCTACTAGCCTGGCTAGGGGCCAAAACAGATCATGTGCCGGCCTTACGTGACAAAACACAGCTGGGACCTGACCTGCCCCTCCAGATGCCCGATCAAGACACTGCCACTGCCCAGCCTGGTCCTCCATCAGTTCTCATGTCCTCATGAGTTGAGGTGGGAGCCCCACCTTCTCCATGCCCAGGTGTGGGCGTTGTTGGAGTCTGGCCTCAGAGCTCCACACAGAGCCCTTTTCTCCAGCTGAATTTTCTTTCCCAGCGGCTGCCTAATGTTCTCTGAGAGCCCATCATGCCTCAAATGGATCACTGCCAGAATTTCAGGGGATCTCCATGCCTCTGATGGCTTCTGGGTGGGGCCTTGCCATGCTCTGGGTCCTGGTCCTGTCCTCACCTCTTCCTCCCGGTGCCACTCCTTCCTTTCTTGCCCAGCCTCACCATGCCAGCCTGCCTAGTTCCTTTCTAACCAACCTGCGCGTCCCGCCAGTCATGTATCATGAACACACAACTGACTGGCATCTTCCAACACCTTTCAGTGCTCTCCAAAAGCACTGAAGACCAGCCCCAACCTGACCTTCGACCCAGCACTCTGGTCCGACTGGCTCTGTGCTCTCTGTGCCACCAGGTCTGGAATCCAGTCTGGGATATGCTTTCACACTCAGCCTTCCTGCTGAGCCTCAAGGGATCCTCCTCTAGGAAATCTTCACACTGGAAGCACCTCCTCATTCCTTAGAACTCAGTACTTGGGGTTCACAGAAAGTCATCAGGATAAGTAAGCCTTACCAGGGTGAAGTGAGGAGGGGTTGATTAGTGGGTGAGACTGGCTGATGCCCTCATTTGTCACCAGGAGAGCAGGGCAAGTTTTCAGACTTCAAGTGTGCCCTGCCTGGAGAAAGCTGCTCATGAAGATGGGAGGTGGATGGCAGGAGAGGAGGCTCACTGGGCACTGTGCTCGCCTACCCCTCCCAAAGGGGATGAGGGCAGAGGGAACTCGAAACTTGGACAGTTCAGGCCGCTAAGAGCAGACAGTTCATGCCCGGCCCTAGTGCCACGCTGTAAGTGCAGCCTCCAACTGTGACTCAGCTCCTCTCACCGATGCCTGCACACAGGAAGCCACAGCCAGCAGCCCAGTGGGCTGCCGGCCAGGATTTTCCTAGTAAATGAATACACTGGCCTTTGGGTCTATACTGCAGCCTTCTGTAAGTTGGGTCAATTTGAGTCAGCCCCAAAACAGAGGATCAACTCTCAACATGGCAATACAATTGAGTTTCTGGGTACCAAAATTTTAAGGTAAGACTCTGCTACAGGTGAGCCCATCAGAGTCTAGCCTTGTGTGAGAAACCAAGTCCCAGGGCCAGGGCCCAAGCCCATGGTGGCAGTTCTTGATCCATCACACTCTCCACCTATTCTTAAAGCCCTTGCGAGTGATGAACTAACTTTACCCAAAGAGAGGCCTGGCCTCTGTCCTGGTTCCTAGGAGGTAACTTCCAAATCTTGGAATTTCCTGGATGACTAGAGTCTTTGTTATTCATGGTGGTCCCCTGGGACCCCACCTGACACTCCATCCTGACAGCCAACTTAGGGTGGAGAGGCTGGCCTGGCCAGAAGCAGGAAATTAGAGGAAAGCCATTAGAGGGTTGGGGTTTGGGCCATGTGAAAGCAGCCGACCATGATAGGAAGGGCTATAGGTGGAGTTCAACGGTGAGAACTCCGTCAACCACAGCAGCTACAGAGCCTCCTGAAGCTCAACACTGGGGCTCAAGTGGGCTTCCTGGATATGCTCTGTGCACTGCCCTGCATCAGGGCTAAGGGGGCACCATGTCCCCAAGGATGCAGAAACTTTGGCATTTGTGACTCCCCCAGTCCCAGATTCTACTCCACATGGCTCTCCTTTGGCTAGTTCTGGATCGTATACTTCTTCTGTAATAAAACTCATTGTAAAGACAGTACTTTCCTGAATTCTGTGAGTCATTCTAGTGAATTCTCAAACCTGAAGGTGGTTTTGGAAACCTCTGTACTTGCAACTGGTGTCAGAATGGGGACAGGGCTGGGCATAGCAGTTCATGCCTATAATCCCAGCACTTTGGGAAGGCGAGACAAGTGGATTGCTGGAGCCCAGGGGTTCAAAACTAGCCTGGGAACATGGTGAAACTCTGTCTCCCTAAAAAACAAATAATAATTAGCTGGGCATGGTGGCATGAACCTGTAGTCCCACCTACTCTGGAGGCTGAGGTAGGAGGATCACTTGAGTCAAGGATTTCAAGGCTGCAGTGAGCCATGATTGTGCCACTACACTCCAGCCTGGGCAGCAGAGCGAGACCCTGTCTTGAGCAGGTGGCAGGGGAAGAAGTGGGGGCAGATGTGGCAGTACAGAGGACTGTGCCCTTAACCTGGAGCCTGGCTGACTGGAGCCAGCCTTTGATCCACATAGTTTTGAAGAAACAGCCAATAAGAATCATTTTGTCCTACCAATAAGTTTTTTTTTTTTTTTTTTTTTTTTTTTTAAAGAACAAAGCAATGCCTTGGCTCATCTGAGTACTTCACAAGATTTTGGGAAAAAATGGACTTTAAGTAATAATGAATGAACAAACACATGAATAAGTGAGTAATAAACAGATGTAAATAATTGACTAACATTTTCATTCTTATTCCCTATACCCCACATCCTCCCAACTGCCCCAACTCCAGCATTACAAAAAACAAAAGAAAAAAATAAAAGAATCTTAAGTAACAAAAATCCTTTCAGCAGTCTTCAAAAAAAAGATGCTAACGTCTAATGTACTGTTCAGATCATGAACTGGGGAAGAGGGTCAGGTGTCACAGGACAGAAGTGTCGAGGCTAGTGGGAAAGACTAAGTGCTGACCACACATGCTACATCAGGCCTGCCCAGAAGTGCCCCTGGGCCAGACATCAGGCTCTCCAACATGTGCCCCTGCCTGTCAAGCCTGTGGCCCCACTTCCATCCCTGGGCTCACATGTATCTGGAAGCCATAGTTTCTCTGAACTGGATACTCTGTGACACTGTAACATGTAGACAAGTCAATTTCCCCATCCAAGTCGGCTGCCTGCAGAAAGAAATGAAAGGGTCTTGAGATATTTAGGAAGTAGAATCAATGCCTAATTTCCATAAGTGATTTCCTGCATTGACTTTATTTTTAATAGTATACACACTGTCAAGTGAGGATACCGTCTATCCTACCACTGCACGACCCACGTCCCTCCCTGGGTGCAACCATACCACCATTTGTCCCTGTATCTGGCCAAAGATAGTTCATACCAGTGGTCCTCAAACATGCTGCTGTTGAAACTCTGTCACACTCCTAAAAACTAAGGACCCTAGAAGAGTTTCTGTTATGTGGATTTCATCTACAGATGATATTTACCAAGTTAGAAATTAAAACTGAAAAATTTAAATATATTCATTCATTTGAGAAAAATAACCTCATTTCATTTTAAAATAAAATTTAATTAAACAATCAGTGATGAGTCACACTTCTTTTAATTTTTGCAATGTTAGATTTTTGCAAATCTAACATCTGTCTTCAGAAAGGACAGCTGGATTCTTGTTTCTGCATTCAATCTGGCGAATAAAGAAAGCAATTTTTTTTTTAGATGGAGTCTTGCTCTGTTGCTCAGGCTGAAGTGCAGTGACATGATCCTGGTGTACTGCAACCTCTGCCTCCCGGGTTCAAGCTATTCTCTTGCCTCAGTCTCCTGAGTAGCTGGGACTACAGATGACCGCCACCATGCCTGGCTAATTTTTGTATTTTTAGTAGAGACGGGGTTTCATCATGTTGGCTAGGCTGGTTTCAAACTCCTGACCTCAGGTGATCCACCTGACTCAGCCTCCAAAGTGCTGAGATTACAGGTGTGAGCCACCATGCTTGGACAATAACGGAAGTATTTTAATAGCTTTTTCAGATAGTTGTGGCTGTTCTTTGATAAGTAGTAGGCTCTTAAAGGTTAACTACCATGTGGTATTGAAATCATGAACTCTTTGTACTGTGTTACATTAAAACCTACGCATGCTTTTGTAACATCAGGTATTGGTCACATGGGAAATATTAAGTTATGTATAGCTACACGTAGCAAATGTCTACACATTTCGTTATACAAGATTAAAATATCATCTTTGCTAATACCACCATCTATTGCATCAAGAAGAATGTAAGTAAAGGGAAGTTCGTTAACGGTGAATACAAATTTTCTCAAGTTCTAAGTTTTGCTTGGAAGCTCAAATTATATCACTGGCAACAAACTCTGTCAGTTGTTTTCCTTAGAGGAATGAGCTAACTTGGTTCATTTTCAGAAAAAATATGCCAAACACCCAAAACGAATGACGACAGTTTTGCCTATCAGTTGTTTTTCAAGTAAACATGGTGCTCCACAGAGAAACTGCTAGTTCAGCTGGCAACTCAATCATATGAGTCCTTTCTATGAGAAAGCCAGCATACTCCAGCATGCAACTAAGTGATGCTTCTCATTCAAATCACACAGTATTAAAAAGATGGCCATTTAAAGATTGAGACTTCATAGAATTAATAACTTCTACTGGTCCTTCAAGGACCTTTATTTACTTTAAAACCATTATTTAAAATATAAGGCAGTGAAGAATCCAGTGACCACTGGTCTAGCCTGTTGCTACAACTGGGGCTGTGCCCAGTGCTAGTGGCTTTGCCTCCCACTGCTTTTACACCATCAGTGCAGATGGCCGCACATAAAAAAAAGGTCAATGGTATCTTAATATTATAAATCATTTTAACCATCACTGCTTTCCTGAATGGGCCTCTGGGACCCCTAGAGGTCTACAGACCACAGTTGGAAGTGCTGTTCTGTGCACACACAACTAAACACTTACACAGGCTCCTTACTTTGCCAACGCTGACCACCACCAGAGGCCCGCTGCCCACACTCTCCTACCCCTACTTTTTATCACTACTGCCTTTAGTCTGTAAAAGACTGGCTCAGAATATTTCATACTCTAGCTCTTAACGATGGGTATTTAGGCTCTTTCCAATCTTCTGGCTATTGCAAATGTGTGGGAATGACTAACCTGAGTATGTGGGAGTATATCTGAGAGATTCCTGGAGTAGAACTACTGGGGAAACGGCGGAAGAGGCTTGCCAAAATGTTTAGAAGAGGTTATTTTATTTGTAGGTGAAAAAAAAAAAAAGCCCCTTCTAGTTGTTCTTTGACCACAGAATCAGGATTGTCAAGGGGCCCAACAAAGCTCATCTATCATATCTTGTCCTTGTCCAGAAGGCAGGGGACAAGATTTAGCTAAATTCTTCCAACTCCGTTTACCATGAAATCTCTTTGTGGAAAAAAACAAAACTGTTTATCTTGAGTTTTCAAATTTCAGTGCTTTTCAAAGAACAGAGAAAATAAAAGCTGCCCAAATCCACTGCATGTAGGCACCTAATTCAGGGCCTTGACGAAGTCTGGCATCATAGCCAGGAAAATGGTCACAAGGACAAAGGCTGGTCTTGTGCTCACCTTCCCACCAGGTTGGGACTGGGAAACCTAAGAGGGCAATATGGACACACCTTTGGCAAGGGAACACCACTGAAGTGCATTGATCTCAGAAGTGGAGACATTAGCCTAGGGGAAGCAGATCTCCCAACCCCAGATGCCACCTGGACCCCTTCAGCTGTCTCCACAGCAGAGGCAAAGCCCAGACACTCACCTCCTCAGCCACTGAATCCCTGTAGTATCTCAGGCTTTGATCAGCCAGGACAAACCAGTGTTTCTTCCACTGAAGGGGAAGAAAAGAAAAATGACTCGACTACCAACTCCCATACAGCATGCCAGCGACTCCACGGCGATGCACAGCCAGCCAGAGCCTGTGGGGCCCTCCCAGAGCACAGGGAAAGCAGGGGACACGCTGACCCCCTCCCTTGACAGCACACAGGGGACTGTGCTGGGACCCGCAGGCAGCCATGCACTCACGTCCTCAGGACGCTCGCTAAGCTGCGACCCTCCAGTGAAGAGGCAGCACAGACAGCTGAACAGGCCTTGCCTGTGGACCCTACAATCAGTGGTGTGGCTGGTGGCCAGGCTGTGCAGTCCTCAATAACTACAGAGGCTGCAGACAACAGGCTGGGCCTGTCCGAACAGAAAGGCAGCTGTGAAACGGTATCTCTACCTGCAGGTGGCAGCCTGCAAGACAGGGCCATGTGGTCCCTAACCAGCAGAGGTAACTAACCAGCTAGAGACCAAGTCTTCACTGTGAGCAGTAAGGAGGGGAACTTGAGTCTTCAGGCCAGGCCAAGGGTATTTGATATGGAGGAGAGAGAAAGAGGATGTCTTGCCATAGCAGCTCAGGAAGCAGGAAGGGAGTGCGGATGGGCTGGGCGTCAGGGCCTCTTAGGTAAGGACCCAGCAGGCTCCTCTTGATGCCTCCTTGGGAGCCCTGGCCTTCCAGCCCTAAGGCACAGGGTCAAGGTGGGCTGGCAGGTCCAGCCTCAGATGGCTCTTCCTGCTTGAGTCTGATGGCAAGAATGTACCACGTTTGCTCCTTCCAGGGCTAACGCTGCCTCTGCAGCTGAGGGGTCTCACGCATCAGAGTTCTGCAGTGCTAGGCTACCGTCTACCTGGCCGGCTTGCATGGAAACACAAACCAACCCCACAGCCAGAGGCTTTCTTTGTCCCTGGGGAAGCCAGGCCCCTAAAGAACTTTTAGGAAAGATCACCAGGTGGGGGCTAGCGTTACAGGGCATCCCTAAGGCCTGAGGCCAAGACCTCTAGCCGTCAGCAGACAGGCCGACTAAGCGCCCCTCCAGAGCACCCTCCACTGCAGAAATGGAGGCCGTGTGCCTGCACTTCTAGGAGCAGATGGGAATTTCAGCCACAGCCCTGGTCTGTAAGACAAGGGGCATGCATGCAGGAGGCAGGCATGGAGCCAGCACTCGCAGACTGGCTGGGGACAAGGTCAGCTCACCCTCACCCTGCCCCAAGACTCCCCAGGGGCCACGGCAACCCTACACACTCACCTGGCCATCCTCATACTGCTTAGTCAGCCAGCCTTTCTTGAAATTCAGCAGGTCGGGCTGAGTGAGAAAGGGAGAAAAAAAAAAAAAAAAAAACAGCTCAGAGGAGACTCCTATAGTGTCATAGGTGTTTGATGGGGCCGGTATTTCTGTCCAGATGAGGCGGGTACCAGGAAAGGGGTTTCTCCACTTGCCAGACAAGCCTGTGCAGCCCCCTCACCCTGGTGGGTGCTGCCCACAACCTGTCTTCTACAGGCACGTGCAACCTTCAAGAAGGAGATGGTGGGCTTGGCAGGCTGGCAGGAGAGAAGGTATGGTCTCATTGCCCTGTGAACAGTGTGGGCTCCGGCCTGTACAGGGCTCACAGCACAGGGCCTATCTGGTGGGCAGAAAACAAGCCCAGATGAAGAGTCACAGAGCACTTTGTTTGAAGGGAAACATCTGCAGGGAAGACTGAAAGAATTGATTCAAAAGTTCTTGCAGAAGCCACAGGAAGCCTGGGAAACAGAGACGTGTGGTTTGAGGAAGCAGCAGCTGCAGCCCCGCTGAGACCCTCAGGCCATTTCTCCACCAGGAGCAGGCTTGACCTGTATTCCCCACAGGTCAAGGAGCAGGACAGCACACAGCGGGGCAGCGCCCAGGCACAGGGCTCTGTCCTTCCTCCACCTGTGCTGCCCAGACACACCTGGAACCCGAAGAGTAGCCTGAGATAGCAGTGCCACCTGCAGCCCAACTGGCTGGGCCCCACAGAGACACGGGTCACCCCACCTCTTGTCCCTGGTGCTCCCCACTTTTCTACAGCCATCTCATCAGAAACCAGCTTTGATGTCTTTTTATATTATTCCAAGGAGTGAGACTAAGTGAGAACAGGCAAAAATTGTCAGGACGACTACCAGGACAGAGCGTTCTGGGAGCCTCTGCTCAGAACCCTTTCTCTGAGGAGTGAGGGACGGCTGCTGCCTAGGTCTGGCCAAGGCTGACCCAGATAGATAAGAAGTCCTTCTACAGAGCCCTGTTTCAATCCCAACATCCTGCCAAGCTGTGCAACTTCCTTGCTGCCAGTTACTTGAGGCACCCAATCAAAAGCAACACTGTGAAATTAGGACACCCTAACCCAAGAGACCCTTAAATAGGGAGGTCCTCTCCTACATGCTTATAGTTGCCATTGCAGCACAAGACCTGAGGCGTGGGCCTGCCACCTGCCCCCTCTGACAGCCTGCCTAGCCTGTGGATCTTTAAAAAACACTTATTAACGTCCATATCATGGTTGTGTCATTGAAGCCATACCTGCATTCCAACCCCTGATGGCAAGGCCTATGCAGGTGGGCTCTCTACTGGTGCTCTCTGCTGGCTGCTGGGGACAGGAGCTCCCGGCTAAGCTGACAGAGAACCGAGTGGTACTGTTCAGGTTACCTGAAGCAAAACCCAAACTAAAGGAGAAACCCAAACCTTACTCCTCCTCATACTCCACATTACACATCAATCGGTGGTTGGCAGCCCCCAATCCCCGGGGCAGGCCGGAGACCCTTGGTGAGCTGCTTTGCAGGCAGCAAGGAGGAGACAAGAGGCAGTGAGCAGGCTCCAGGCTCCCATGGAGGCTGAAGACAGCATGCTGAGGTGGCCTTGCTCCTGTACCCTGACCACTCCCTGCCGCACCCCTATTGTCATAGCTCTGAGGCCTTCGGAGGACCCAGGGCAAGGCCTGCTATTCCACTTGAAGCCTGAAGCGGAGAAGAAGACAAGCTCCAGCAAGACATGGCTCCTGACTCCGAAGTGCCACAAAATCAAATGCCCAAAGCCAGAGGAGCAGAGGGTCCCTGCTGCAGCCCTGCCTCCTAGAGTCAGGAGTCTGCCTGGCCGAGGTGGCCTCCTCCGCAGGGCTTCCTCCTGGAGCACAGGATGCCATGGAGCCCTTCGTTCTGCTAGGACCAGAAAAGGGAAGAAACACAGAATCTGTGGTCGACGGCCTGTGGGTTGGTGGGTGGGGGCGCTCACAGACATGAGGGCCTGTGCACAGAGGGACAGCTGGTGTGGATGCATAGACAGAAACAGACAGTGCCTCAGAGTGACCAGAAGCAGAGGAGCACGGCCTCCGGAGGACACAGCGCCTGGGCTCACCGTCACGGAGGGCTCCGTGGACCTCCTGTCCAGTGACTTGGCTCTTCGGTGTGGAGACAGGGGGGAAGCCGAGGCGTCTGGGAGAGGAGCTGGGGGGGCTTCGTTGGTGAAGTCCTGTGGCAGAGAGCAGCCGCCAGTCAGTGCAGCCCAGGGCAACACGGGCAGGTGAGGGACGAGCTGGTGCTGTCCACACCTCCAAGGGCCACCAGGTCCTTGCTCCTGGCAAGGGGCAATGATTTGCTTAGGCCCCCGCAGCAAGTCTGCAGCAGGGCCAGAACAGGACCCGCGTCGTGAGATGCCCTGGTTGATAAAGCAACTTTTTTTTTTTTTTGGATACTCGGTCACCATCACTTTCCTGGTCCCGCCCCATCCTCCAGCTTCTCTGGGTCACAGAAGGAAGAGACCTGAGATCTGTGGCGGCAGGTGGCAGGCTATGGGCCAGGCAGTGAGCACTAGGCACCTTGTGAACAAGAGAGAAGTCAGGAGAAGATGAGCTTGGACTTGGCCGGCTACAAAAGCAGCAGGCAAGTGCCCAGGAGGATTTCAGAAGCCGAGTCTACCTTGGGCTGAGTGGAGAAACAAGGGGTGCAGCTGTACTGAAAGAAAGAGTTAAGAAGGTGACACTGAACCTTGTTTCCGGGCTGCCTCGGAGAGGAAGAGAGTGACTCTACATTTGGGATCTAAAACGTGTGAGAATATCCTTTAGCAGAGACGGAGAAGGCTCTGATACGAAGCTGCAGGAGACAGGCCTGCACATGAGGTGGTCACTATGCAGAGGAGGTGGTCAAAGAGCAGAAGCCCGGCAGCAGCGCATCCTAGGCATGTGTGGAGGGGACCTGGCACACGGGGTGCATGCTGATCCGAACCCGAGCCGCCCCCCAGGAGCTCACCCGCTTTCTAGGGAACGCCCTCTTCTCGCTGCGGCCCTGGCGTGTGTCGCTGGATGGCGAGGGCCCCACTGCATTGGTCTCCATGTGCTCTGCCTTCTCAATGTCCAAGGCCTCAAACTTTTCAATCACCTGGGACCTCCTGCAAGAGAGGACACGAGGCCCTGAGGTGGCAGTAAGGTGAGAAGAGGCTCCTGTAGCTGACTCCTCCCATGCCCGGCCTGGCCTGGGCCTGATTTCCCCGAGGTTTGCACAGCATAGAGGTTGTCTACACATGTGCTCAGCCAACCTGAGCTCCACCTGCGTCCCTCCATGGCCCTCCCTCCCACCAGGCCTGTGCTCGCCCCTGCTCTCTGCCCTCACGCTGGAGGCCCCACAGGCTCTGTGGTGTTGACCCACTCAGCATTCACACAGCTTGGCACCCAGCAGCCTCTCCTGAGCCACAGACATGATCAAAAGGCAGGCAACCACCACCTTGGAGGGCAGCCTCCATTCTCGTTGCATCCCTCATGGATCACAGTGCAACCCCCACCCCAAAATTTAGCAAGAAAGAGGCCCTGGAATTAACATTGTTTCTGCCAACAGTAAAAGGAATCAAAGACCAAATTAAAACAAAAACAAAGCAGGTGATTTCATGTGAGAGGGCTGGTGGCCTCCTCAGGCTGTCTACCGCTGGAGACGGAGCTGAGATGGGGCGAAGCAGGTGGAGGAGGTGCAGCGCCACCCAGCGGCACAGCAGGAGAGCGCAGAGGCAAGACCTGAAAGAAAACAAGGCTGGGAAATGAATACACGGAAAAGCACTGCTTTTTCAAATCAAATAATGGTGAACCAAAATTACCCAAAGAATTAAAGAAGCAAAAACCCAAGGTAATCACTGAAGAGGCAGAGAGACCATGATTGCCCACCCGTGGCAAGGAGTCGCCCTGGTGGGGTCAGAGGTGGGGGACATGCCAGCTGAGGCTCAGCTCACGGGGACTGCTAACCTGGGGGGCTTGGACATCACTGTGTCAGGAGGGTGGCCCCCTGCTCCTGGGGCTGGGGCCTGTTCTCCCAGGGACACCTAAGTTACCTGGCAGAGAAGGTGTCACTGTTGCTCTGGACAAGAGGATAAGAACTGAGGGGAAGCGGGTGAAGGGCTCCCAAGCCAGGAAGCCTAATTATCTCCATAAGGAAGAAGAGAAGAAACGTGATCAAATCCTGAGACCCCACCTCTCCCAAGAGGCCAGCTGCTTCTCAGGGAGGGTGAGGAAAACTGAAAACCCGCTGCCTAAGGTGTCTTCACCACGAAGCAAGGAGGGCCCAGGGCTGGACTCTGAGGGCCCCAGGCTCCACTTTCTCCCTGCTCTTCCACACAAAGCTTTCTCAGGAAAGAAGCTTGTGCCAGGCCAGCCTGCCAGAACCGGCAGCAGAGGCAGGCGCTGGGATGGGGGAGCAGGAGAGGCCGTGGCATCGTGAGAGCAGGAAGCTAAGGAAGCTGCTGGAATTCCTGGGCACCCAGGGAAAGCTTGGGTAAGTGCAGGCCGGGCATCCACTACACTTGAGCCATTGTGGTGGGATCTGGGTGAGAGTCAAGTCCCACCAACGGACCTCAGTGCCGTCACTTCCAGCATAAGGGCTCCTCTGCCCAGCACTGGGGCCTAGAAAGCCCGAGGAAAGCAGTGAGGGGCTGCTGGGCTTGAATTCCAAGCGAGTCACATGCCATGGTACTGTGGGGATCCAGAGAGGGGAGTCGTAGAAGAGGGAAGGCACTTGCTACAGTTGCTTTGCATGGGGGTCTGGGGATCCTGTAAGACCACAGGCTCCCGCAATGGCTGCCTTGATCTACTGGGGTAGGTACGAAGTTACTAATTGATGCCCTGGAGGCACTGCAGGTGAGACAGCAAGCGCCTTCCTGGTCAGCACAGAAAACTGGGCCTGCACCCTGTAGCTCCCGGGTTCCTAGAGCACAAAACCCTGTGCTGAGGTCAGGGGGGTTAGGGTTGCATGGGGAGCTGGGCTTGCTGCCAGTCACCAGCAGGTCAACCAGGACCACAGCTTCCTCCACTTGGCAGCCAGAGGTGACTCATTATCCAAGAAACACTCTGGAAGTCTAAGGAGCAGACACATAGAAGCCCACAGCTGGCCAGGTTCAGACAGGCCTGCCTAAATGACTGTGGCTTGTCAAAAAACCAACCCTGCAGTCCCAGCAGTCTGGCTCCTGGGCACACCTGTTGTGGCTGCCATTCCAGGCAGCTGTGGACAATCTCTTGCCAATTTGGAGATTCTGTTCTAATCAACCAGGGGACAGGAATCCAATTAAGCACAGGGTAAGCTACTAGGGATCCAGTGAGCAGGCCTCAGAAAGCAACAGTAGCCAATCAGATGTCACCAGGGTCAGGAGAAAGGGATGCTGCAGTATTAGTATGCAGAACTGGCAGGGCCAGCACCAGGTGTAAACCTGTCCCCATGTGGCAGTACATGCAGAGTACAAAGCCCCAGAGACGGCACCTATCCCAGGCCAGGAGACCAGAATGAGTACAAAAGGAGTCCCTCTGAGAAGAAGCCAAGCCAAGCAGGTGTGCTGAATGCTAATTCTGTGGTCTGGTGCTAAACCAGGACATAGCTGATCCTGCTCTGGAGCCACGACGACACACAGCCTGCTTGCCAGCCAGCGTGAAGCCTCCCCTGCCCACCCACTGGCCTCCTCCTCTCTCTAGCAAAACCCTTTACTTATATATTTTAATTGCTTAAAAGGGCACCCTTGACATCAGTCCTGGGTCACAGGATGGGGGCAGGGACTTCCTGGTTAAGGCCCCACTGGGATCTGCACCAGCTATCCACTGTGAGAAGTCACCACTCCTGAGCCTTAGTTTTCACGTCTACAACGTGGGGCAGTAGTAACAGGTCCTCATCAGGCTACTATGAAACGTTAAGGCAGTGGAGTGCTTAGCAGAGCACCCTGGGGCACCAGGCAGGGGCTGGGAACCACCTGAGTGCCCTTCCTTTCTCTAGGAAGTCAATGTGTCATTTTCCTCTCATGAGCAGTATCTCTGGGAGATGCTTCCTTATCCTGGAGACTAACCTGCAGGCTCACAGGTCCTTTTCACCTGGGACATTTAGAAGAGTGGGTGGGCTTGTCAGCCAATGTGGGTGTTCAGAAGAATAGGGCACAGGAGGTAAAAACACTTCCCTCCACCTGCCCTTTGAGGCATGAGAGCCCATGGCTGCCTTCATCTGTCCCTCCCAGTAGCATCTCTAACTCTGAGCTCCAGGCTGTCGTTGGGGAAATGAGGATGTTCTGATAAGACTTTCAGAACTATGCGTTGAACCTCTTTTCTGGACAGTGAACCTTCGGAAACTAATGAAAACTATGGGTTTTCTTCCCAGAAGAGTGCCCATATATACTGTGGAACTGTTTTGTTGAGGAGGCAGTTCACTGTGGACCTTCAGAAGTCTGTAAGTCTATCCTTAAACTGGGCTAAGGATCCCTGCTGTCAAGGCGAAGCCTCAGTTTACAGACGTAGGAGTGCAAGCCTGATCGAAGGCATGCTTGGGCACTTGGGTCTGGATCTGGGCGTGGAGGCCTCAGATGGCATCCAGCTCTTTTCTAGTTCTCTAGGAAACTCTGGCATACAAGGGCAGGGCAGGGCAGGGCAGGGCGTGGCCCCTCCCTCTTCTTAGGCAGCAGTCAAATTCTGCACCTGTGCCCCTTGGCCCCTGCCCTAAGCCCAGCTGTCCAAACTCTGTTTCTTTCCAGCCAGTCAAAGTCTTAGAGGGCCAAAAGCAATGCTCCCTTGGAGGGCAAAAGCAATGCTACTGGGTGCTCGGCTGCTTCACAGGCTGCCTCAGGGTTCCTGGGGCTGTGGCTACCCACCGAGCATGTCCTTGAGAGAGGAGCCTGTGCTGCCCGCCCCCCGCCTTCCTGGGCACAACTGTCTGCCCCTGCATCTCTCTCAATGCCCTTTGCCCACCCTGGAACTGCCAGGGTGAGGAATGCCTCTATCACCATGTGTAGTTCTAGGGTCTCCCTGCCTCCACGCCACTTAAATGAATAGAAATGGCGCAGGAGGAAAAGACCCAGCCCCACAAGGAGCAGGCACCCAGGAGCCACCAGGAAACCTTAAGGTCCCAGTCCTAGGAGGCACGGATGTGAAAACTGCTGTTCTTGGCTTTGATTCTGATGCTCAAAAATTCTGCATTTTGGCTGCAAGAGCTGAGTTTTGGGCCCAGAGGGAAAATCCCCCTACACTCTGAATGGAAAGTATGCTCCCCCAAGGGAGGCTTGGGGACTGTATGTGAGAGAGTGTGAGGGTGGTGCGTGGGTGGGAGTGCATGTGTGTGGATCCGAATGTTCAGCCCTAACCTGCTCCTTACCTCCGCTCGTTGCCAAACAGACGGGCCACCTCCTCCCTGCCAGGGCTCCGGGCCCGAGTTCTACGCTCCAGCCGCCTTCTCTCCACCTGGAAGGCTTCTCGGTGGCTGATCCTGATGGCCTTAGGAACGTCGGCCAGGGTGGCATATTGCCTGCTGGCTTTAAAGGCAAAGGTGCTCCCCGGTCTCTCTGTCCCCCGCCCCCCAGTGCTGCCAGAGTCCACGTAGGCAGGTGGCTGGCCGGCCACATCCAGGGAGCCGAGAGAGATGCTGTAGACCATTCGGTGGGGGAGTCGAGGCCCTGGGGAAGGAAGGGGACCACCGAGCTCCCGGGGGGGTGACTCGGGGCAACTGTACCTGTGATTGGGGGTGCTGGGGCTGGGAGGGGAGAGCGGCAGGGGCAGCTGCTGCTCCTCAGCCTTCAAGTCCTGTTTGGTCTTCTCCAGGGAGAAGTAGCCGCTTTCCACCCGGACTTTGCGGCCACAGTCCATGCGGTCGCTATTCATGGCGCTCTCCTCTGGAAGAGACAGTGGGAGGGAGGAGATGCGCTTAACCTGCTGCCAGCTTTGCTTTGAGGACTTTTTTAATGAAGCCCATGTGGGACCCAAGCAGGGGCCTTTTCTACCTCCCATCTCTAATTTATAGCACAGCCCACTCAAGGGCAGATGTTAATAACCATGGATGGGCGTGAAATATTCCATGCATGCTTTTTTCCCTCATCCATCTCTCCCCTGCAGCTGACTGCCTCTCAGCCAGGCTGGCAGGCAGGCCCTACACGTCTAGTCTGGGGGCTCGGCTGGGAGAGCAGATCTGTACCTCAGGATATAAGACACCCACCAACAACTGCTTCTTACCATCAAGAGGGAAGCTGACAGTCAACCAGCTCTTTAGTCTTCTTCTTTTTTTTTTGAGACAGAGTCTGACTCACTCTGCCACCCAGGCTGGAGTGCAGTGGTACAATTTCGGCTCACTGCAACCTTCACCTCCTGTGTTCAAGAGATTCTCCTGCCTCAGACTTCCGAGCAGCTGGGACTACAGGCGTGCACCACCACACCCAGCTAATTTTTGTATTCTCAGTAGAGATAGGGTTTCACTATGTTGGCCAGGTTGGTCTCAAACTCCTGATCTCAGGTGTTCTACCCGCCTCGGTCTCCCAAAGTGCTGGGATTACAGGCATGAGCCACTATGCCCATCCCCTTCAGTCTTTTAGTGCATTCTGGGGGCGGGAAGGGGCAGGGGACTTCTGTAGAAGTAAGACAGAGTGAATAGATGTTTAACATGGATAGGCCTGAGAGGAAGACTGAGACACCTTCCACCGAGAACGCATGTGAAACATGCAGCCAGAGTAAGCTGGGCTGGCCACAGCTGCTCACTTATCTTTAGCAATCTAGACAAAATACAGATGGGAAAAGGAAAACCCAGCCTGTGTCTTACAGAGACCCCTAGAGCCTGGGAACAAGAGAGGCAAAGATAAAAGCCTTGCTCCCGCTCAGGCAATTCCAAAGTGCTAAAAAAAACAGGGCGCGAGGATGCCAACTGCTGCCTCCCCAGTACCCCTTTCCCTCCTTCTGCCAGGGGCCCAGGCAGAATGCGGACAGTCAGAGGGATGAAGCTGTCAGACTACTGCTTCTTGGGGCAGGATGCACCCAGAAACACGATGGTACTGTGACAGAGGCCTGACACAGACCCTGCTGCAAAATGTTTCCGATTCTCCTGACAAGCAAGTGGGGCTGACGGAGCAGGTACTGTTTTCCTCCTTTAAAGATAGGATTTAAAAGCCAGAAGGGGCAAGGCCAAGACTGGAGCCCAGGAATCTCAGTCCATACCAGGCCAGGTGCTACCCACAGGGCTGATGGACGAAGGGAAATCAAGGTCCAGGGCTTGTGACTGGGCTCTAAAGCCGTTGGCTGAGTCCCTAGCCAGCTCTGATGGGAGGGAGGGCCGTTCTAGTGCCTACAGGTCAGCCTGGCCCCTGCTCACCTTCTTTGCTCTCCAGCCCAGGTTCCCGCAATGAACTGGCAGCAGGAGGCTGGCTCTGGCTGGGACTCTGAGCTGGACTCAGGCTGCTGCCATCTGGCTGGTCCTTGGTCCTCATTTCTTCCTGCCAGAGTGTGGACTTGGTGGTGGGGACTTTCTCGGCACTGGGGATGCTGCTGCTGCTGCTGCTGCTGCTGCTGCTGGTGACAGCCACCTTGGCAGGCCCAGGCTCCTGGAGGAGGAGAGAGTGGTGTCTGTGCAGGTACAGGAGCACATAGCCCAGGCTGGGTCACAGGTCCTGGCTGTCCAGCTATGTGGGGCACCCGGGCCAGCTATATAATCTCAGGGAGCTGGAATCTTCAGACAGTGCTCCGTAACAGTGGGCCAGGCATTCACAGTGAGACCACAGTAGCTGCTTCGAAATCTGTCATTCCTAGGCATCCAAGACTTGAATAAGACGAGACAGAACAGAGTGAGGAAAGAGAACACACCCTTGAGACACATCCAGCATCATCTGTAGATCCTTATGCTGAATGTAACAAGTTCATAGCACCCAAGTCTGGGCCAGCCCTGTGGCCTTACCCAGCCTCTGTTTTTTGCTCCTAAGAAGCTAAAATGGAATGCCCAGATGCTATGTGAAGCGAAGAGTCATCGGATGCAAACTAAATGCTATGGTTTCAATGTTGTGTCTCCCCACAACTCATGTGTTGAAATCCTAACCCCCCACTCCCAGGGTGATGGTATCAGGAGGTGGGGCCTTTAGGAGGTGATTAGTTCATGAGAGTGGAGCCCTCATGTATGGAATTAGTGCCTTCATAGAAGAGGCCTCAGAGAGCTGCCCTGCCCCTTCTAAACATCTGAGGACCAGCAAGGGGGCCCTCATAGATCCCCAAAGTACTAGCACTTTAATCTTAGACTAACCAGCCTGCTGTGAGAAAAATTTCTATTATTTATAAGCTGACCAGTCTGTGGCATTTTATTATAGCAGACAGAACAGAAAAAGACACCAAACACCCCACTTGAATCTGTACACAGGCACACACTCACAAATGCAAATATATATTCACATGTACATGCTCTCTGACACTCATAAGCTCATACATGCACAAGCTAGATACAAGCCAGTAGCCAAGATGGAAAGAGTGTCAATCCCCAATCTCTCCAGGTTGTGGAAATGGTATTGCTCCCCGAGGGAGAAGCATTTAGGCAGATGCAGAGTCCAGACAACAGCAGGGCTGTGATCCCTAGCTGCTCCACAGTACCAGGTCACAACCTGGGCTCCAACAACGCTGCCCAGAGGGCTGCCAACAGGATGGCTTTGGCCCCTCTCCAGAAGTAAAGCACATTTGAGCTCTCTTGCAAAAGACAAGAGCATGATATACAAGTGCCCACCTCCCACTTCCATCCTGATGGCCAAGCCTCATTTTTAGAAACCCACCTTAGTCCCTCTCTGGCTTGGGCCCTTGGAGAGGGTTGCAGATGACACAGGTTCTTTACATGTATGTGTGTGTGCACACCTGCAGATGCAGCGTCACCACCAGGCTATTTATTAATAGCCTGGCTGGGCTCCATACAACCAGTTTCACCCATCTACCTCTCAAGGAAGGCCACAGGGGCTGAGAGAAGAGGCAGCGGGCCCATGAGTGCACAGCCAGTGCGGGGCAGCATGAGGGTCTGAGTGTTTCCACCATGTGCCCCAGAAGCAGCAAGGCCATGGGGTTGGGGGACATTGCCTTGGGTGGGGCTCTGGGTCCAAAGCTGTTGGCACTTTTGCAAGGATTCCAGGCCTCATGTAGAGGATAAAGGCAGGGAGGCTCTTCCCACAGACCCAGGATGCACACCTGACTGCCTACTTGTCTCAGGGCCGCCAGCAGACAGACTCCCAGGCTGAAGGCTCCCTCAGAAGCCAGCTTCTCAGAGGCAAACAGTGAAGGTTTCTCCTAACAAGTTTCCCAAGGGCTCCAACGACCCAAGGGGATGCCACCCCAGGACCACCTGTCACTGCAGCAAACACAGCACCCTGGAATGCTTACCTATGGGAAACCGGCAGTTGTGCTGGATGCAGAACCACCTGAACTGCCCACCCTGGCAGCAGCGCTTCCCCAAAGCAAAAGGTGCTCTAGAGCCCTGCTTGATAAGGAGGAACCTCTCTCTGCAGGTGTTTCAGAAGGCTCCCCACTTCCCTAGCAGGAACATGGAGCAGGACAACCGATGGGAAGGAAGGATTCTGACTTGGAGTAGGGGGGTGGCAGTAGACACCCCAGTAAAAAACAGCATTCTTAAGGAAGGAGACACTCATGTGGGCCCGGTGGTGCTGTCTCAGCTCACACTGAGGCCTGTGGTTCTACAGGTCTCAGAGGAAAGCCAGAGAAAAGCAGAAGAAGCTGGGAGCTGGGAGATGGAGGAGCTGGCCTCCCTTAGGTCCACCTGTGAAGTGGAGACCTGGGGCCTGGAAACCTGGCTAGAAACACAACTCCGGGCTCTCCACCTGTCTCCATCCTTCCTGCCCTTCATACCTACATGGGTCATCGTTTCCTTCTGCTCCAGGCTCTTTCCTTCTTTGAGTCCTAACACGAGTTGAGTAAGAAGCCGCTCCCTGGAGCCCGTGCTTCTCAGACCACAGGCTTTGGAGGCTGTGGTTAGGGCCAAACCAGTCTCCTCTCCCAGCCCTAGACTCTGTTGAGACCCCTGCCCTCAGCTGAAAAGCTGTCTGCTGTGCCTGTAGTGTGATCCTTGGCCCCAACTTCTGGAAGCAGAACCTTTCAGAAGGTCCCACCTGAGTTCCTCAAGGGCAAAAGCTAATTCTTACTGGGCACAGTGGACAGCCAATGCTTCAAGCCCTCCACTGGTTTAGTGTGAAGCTCTCCTGGGCCTACACTAGGCCATGGAGAAAGTAGTCAAGTATACAGTCTTTGGGAAGGTGTGAAGCTTACCCCCAGCCCCATCCTAGGCCTTGAGAATGCCTTTAGCATCAGGCTGCACGCAGAAGGGAGGCCTATCCAGAGACCCCATCTCAACCACGATCCCTGCTGCTCCTTTGCAGTGTCCCCACGTCACCCCGACAAGACTGCCTGGACAAAGAGATGGTTCCTGATTAAAGTTCAAAGCTTCTGGAAACAAGCAGCCTCAAATGGCATGCTCTCAGGACCAAGGGGTAGAAAGGAGAGACTCTGCAAGGTTGTCTCAGGAGAGGGCTGAGTGCAGAAGGCTGGGACCCCTGTGTTCCAGACTCTGAGACCTCGGGGAAGTAGATAACCTACCCACCCTGGGATCATGTGGCTGGCCCCTTCTACCAACCAAAAAGCTGAAGCTTGGTCATGGCTAGCTGTTTTGGGGAGCTGGGTGTCATGAGGGAAGGTGAGTAAGCAAGCTCCCTGGCCTGGGATGAGAGCGGCTCCTTCACATGGAGTTACCTTATTGGAGGCAGGAGCTCTGCTTCTGCACTGTTTCCAAGGCATCACCATGGAAACACAGCATAACCCTAAACACTGTTAATTCTGCCTGTGCTTTTTTTTCCCTCTCAGACCAGGCAGCTTTGCGGGATTTACGTATTAACTGCTGTTCCACAGCAGGAGGCTTTATTTTCTGTCTCCAAGAAGCTCTCTGTATTTTTTGCCGACTTCTTGCTAGCTACATCTCCTTTCCAGTGGATGTTGGCTTGGGTGCCCCCACCTCCCTTCCTGACCCCAAGATGGAGGGTGGATGACCATGGACTGAGAGTGGCCCAGGCTGATTCCATCAGCAGGAGGGCCAATACAGCAGCCCAGGGCGGGCACATCCAAGGGCAGCCCAAGGGGCTGAGGGGAGTAGGGGGCCCAGGCCAGTGCGTGCTCCCTACCTCTGCAGCCCCTGGCTGGCTCTCTTCACTTCTGTGGGCCTCTGGCCTTGTGATGCCCAACGGACCCCAACCCCACTCTGCTCCCTCTCAGGGTGACTATGAGGCTCAGGACAAAGCAAAGCACTTGGGAACAGTAGTGTATAGTACAGAGGGGAGAAGAATTACATTTACTGAGCACCCATAATCAGGCCAAAACTTCTTTTCATGCTCACAACAAAATTGGCAATTAGGCAGCAACAGGCCCGCTTTGCAAGTTGACTCACTGAGGCTCAGAAAGGTTACCTCATTCCTCCACGGCCCCAGGAATGCAGGGAGTGTGGTGAGGCAGTGCAGGACCCTTCTATGCTCTGATCCTTGCACACTGGCCAGGGAGGGAAGGAGGATCGTGGCCTGTGGGGAAGAACTGGGCCTGGAGGGACCACCCCAGCCAGCCATGCCCTGCTCAGGTTACATGGGAGTTGGAGCAAGGGCCCCTGTGAGCTCCTTATGGGCCACGATACTCCAAGACTCTCCTCCCCATCCTACGGCATCCAGCTGCCTGCAGGGCCACCTGTGGGTGCAGAGTCCTTTTGACTGTGGCTGCAGGCTGCCCATGCTGCCCCTCCCCAGCTGCCAGCAGAACAGCGAGGAGAGGGGGTCACAGCTGTGTACTGTTGGCTGGCTGGAAACTTCTCTTGGGCAGCCCCAGAGCATACCAGCAGGCCACCCTGTCCTTGTTGTGGGTCCCTGTGGCTCAGTCCCTGCTGTGTAGCCCACAGCAAGGATGTGCAGGGTTGATGACTGCCTCAGCCCTGGCCTGACTATCCTCACTCTCTAACCTCCAGGGAGCCCTCACTTCTTCGCAAGCCCTGGCTCCAATGAGCGGATGGCACCTGGCAAACCCACTGCCTACCTGCGGTGTGGGGGGCTCCACTTTCCGTTTCTTCTTCTGGTTCTGTTTGTTGGTCCGCGGATAGACCATGAGCATCTCCAGCCACCTGGGAAGACAAAAGGAGATAAAGTACCAGGTAAGACCCTGGCACTTGGGGACTAGAAACCCTGGCCCTTGCTGGGGTGGTCCAGGCCTCTGGGCACTGAGGAGAGCAGAGTACCATCCCCAGTGAGAGACTGCTATGCTGGGGCCAGAAGTGCCCACAGAATAAGCCTGAACGATGACCCTGCCACAACCACGGCAGGCTCAGGGCACAACACAGGCTCTGTGCTAGCAGAAAAGCCAGGCCTGGCTATGGGCCTCGGAGCACAGGACGTGTAACTTCCATTACTGACCTATATCCAGGGCCTGGACTTGTCCTAACACTGCTCTCCCAGAGTGGACTTGGTGAGAGCAGAGATGGGGTATGACTGGGAGCCATTTAGGGCAACAGACGCAGGTGCTGGCCTTGAGGCGGGAATCTAGGAGCTGTGCTGGCCAAGTTCCTGCAATGGGTCCCCTCAAGGGACTGGAGTGGTGGGTGCTGAACTCCCACAGTCCCTGTAGAGGGAGGGTGCTGGGTACCCTGGCTTTGAGGAAGCCTGGGCAGAGCTCATCAGGGACCCCATCAGGGCTTGCGTGTGGGAAATTCACTCTGGATAAGCACCAGGGGTGAAGCAAGGGAGCATGGCAAGAGCACGTGCTGCCAGCAGGAGGACTATGGATCTGGCTCTGCCACCACCCCACCACAATCTTTGGTAGCTCCCTGCCCCTTGGAGCTTCAATCTTCTCATTTCTGAAATCAGGAGCTAGATCAGATCATGGCACTACGACTACTTCCACCATATAGATTTTTACAACAAACAAAGGAACTAACAGCAATTGCCTTGCTAGAGCTGCCTGCCAGTCCTGTGGAAACTGGAGGACGGGGGTGGGAGGAGTGGAGAGCAGTGTAGGTCCTGCCTCTGAAGCCCCAGCTCCAGCCCTGGGCCTGGTTGTGCAAGGGCAGCCCTAGTATCCTCTCCAGAGTGGAAGGAGCCTCAGAAGACACTGCTCCAGGTCTTCCTCCAACAACAGGGTCTGTGCTGGGCCTGTTGGCAGCCTGGGCCTGGTTTGGGGATGGGAGGGTCTGCACTGCTGCACCCTGCTAGACATCATACGGGTGCAGCACCCAGCAGCACACTGAGCCTGAGCAGGAAAACAGCTCGAGTCTTTTGTGCTAAGATGTTTCTTTAATTTGAAGTGGAGAGGAGAGGAGAGAAGGGGAAAAGGGATAGAGAAGGGAAGAGAGGAAGAGGGTGGGCAGGAGGGAGGGAAGGGAGGAGGAAGGAAGGAGGAAAGGAAGAAAGAGAAAGATAAAATGAAGGAGGTAAGAAAGGACACACAAAGGGAGGGTCAGTCACAGTCACTGGCTTCTGAGACAGCCTCAGGATGGGTGTGCTGTTGACAGCTGGTAGCTGCAGAGGTCAGGCTTATTGCAGGGAACCAAAACAACAGAGCTGAGGGGCCACCCTCAGCCCAGCTCAGCTCACAGCCAGTGATGCTGGATTTGCTGAGGATGAATAAATACCTGCACTGCCAAGCCACAGGTCCTGTGGGTCACTCCCCCATGGCCCCAAAACAAGAAAGGAGGGCATGACCATCTGCAAAGCTAGCAGACAGCAGGCCTTCTGAGGGTCCTGAGCCCCTCTCCTCCCTGGTCACATTTCTCACAAAGGCTGCTGGGAGCAGAGGTCCCAGGAAGGGGCCTCACTCATACAAGTGAGGTGTTCACAAGGCATATGGGGTTAAAAAGGTTTGTCTTTCTGGTCTGCCATGGCAGCTGCCACTTCTCCTGAGCACTCTGAGGGACTGTGCCTGCAGAAGGCTGCACTTAAAATTTCAATGAGGTGTGGAGCATGCCGGAGGTGCAGAACCCTGCCAGGTACCCCACGCCCCTGCAGACTGGAACCTGGAGGGGAGGGGAGAAGGCTGCACTGCAGGCACTCTGCTGACTACGTGGAACTGCTGAGCTCTCCTGGGCTGGTTCCAGCAAGCCCAGGACTCAGGAGGAGCCAGGACAGCAGGTGTCCCATGTGGTCTCAGTCCCATTATGCATCTTAGTCTCTGTTCAGACTGGAATCTGTGGCTGGAGTCGCAGAGACGCAGGGTCCAGCAACAGATGATGGAACATGTCCTCTGCACTTGGGTTTCTCACCGAAGCCCAATAGGAAGCATCTAACGTCATCCAGATGTATTATAAATGTTAACGAAACAAGAAGACAGGAGAGAGGTGAGTGTGAATATGGGACTGGTAGGTGCTGAGGCTCTCCAGCTGGGGAAGGCAGAGCCCAGATGAATGAGAACAGGGGAGTGGGTAAGGTTAAAAGGTAGGGCAGGGAAAAGGGAAGTTCAGACTTCATCCAGCTGAGCACAGAAGAGCTCCCTTGCCAACTCCTACCCAAATCCCACTTCATCTAAAAGAGCTGTGTAAAGTGTAGCCCAGCATCCTGGAAGTGCGAACTGGAAAGAGTTCCCAACTTCTTCCACCCAGGCCCAGGAGAGACCCGGCATCCCATGTAGCTGTCAGGGCTATGCAGAGAAGACCTGGGAAGAAGGTTGGGTGGGACTGTCCCCAGCCCACCCGCCTGGTGGAAGTATCTGCACCTCCTCAGGGACCAGCTTTGATGTGACCAGAGAGCTCGGACCCAAAATGGCGCTCCAGAGCCTAGGGATGAAGTTACTGGGCAGAGGAGTTATAATTGGCAACAGAGGGAGGCAAGAGAGGGAGCAGAGGAAGGGGGCTGTCACCAAGGGCAGGAGACAGAAGAACAGGAGGTTGTGGCAAAAGCACTTCTCCCCAGGGTGCATAGGCCACACCTGACTTCTTCATGCAGTGGAGCATCCCAGCATGTGAGAAGGTGAGGAAGTGGCTGCCAGGGGCCCAAGGCAGGCTGCCACGTGAGAACCTGCCTGTTGGATGCAAACTAACATGGCCCACAACCAGGGCAAGGGGAAGGAGAAGAACCTTGGGCAGTGTATGCTGGCTTTGGATATGCCACTGAGCCACCATAAACATGGGGCCCCATACCATATGTACCTGGTACCTTGATACATTAATGATGTTGTCTACCCAAGCTGCATGGCTATGGCCAGCTTGAACATGCAACAGAAGACAGCAGAGAAGTAGGGGGCTCAGGACGGGGTAAGGACCTCTGGCAGGACTTAGGCTGCCTGCTGGAGGCAGTTCTAATGCTAAACATCACCCTCTCCTCATACCACATGGTACAACGCATACCTCTCTGGCCTGGTCCTAGAACCATCCCTGCTCCAGATACTCCCCAGCCTGCCCTGGAGACCCAGAACTCCCATCTGTCCCACCTGTTACCTACACCCTCTCTGGGACCTAGCTCCTGTGGAAAGGGTGAGGGTTTCCTAGGGAAGCTACCTAGGCAGAGGGAGCCTCAGTTGTGTCCTGCCAGGCCAGCAAGAAGTGTGAGCCAGGAAGTACAGAAGATGCCCTAGGCCAGGCTCCCATCTCCAGGCCCTGGGTCTTCTCGACTGTATCATGAGGGCTCTTCAGAAGCCCTTGACATTCTTGATCATATGGTTCTGGATTAAGATCAGGGGAGACATAACACAAGTGCTCCTTCAGTTTGGCTCCAGGTGTTCAGAAATGCAAACCTGCCTCTCCTCTAGGGGAGGGCACACCTGAGCAGAGAGAGCCCTGGGGCCCAGCACAGACTCTTGGACACCTTGTCACGTGGCCCTGGACTTCAGGCTGTGCTTATTCACCAGGCTTGGCCAGGCTGCAGCTGAGAGGCTAAAGCAAGCCTGGTGTTCTGAGTCGTCCATATGTTCAAACCCAAGGGCTCCATATTCCTGAATCCCTCTACTCTGTACTGCTTGTCAGCCTGGCCCAACAAGCCCCAGGTTTACTTTTTCCAGAGCTTCTTAGACTCATGTGCCTCTTTCTCAGCCTTAAACAAGACAGGGATTCTCAGAGATCCAGTTTGTGAGTTCCTCTCAGGCCCAATCAGCCTGTTCACCCGCACGGACCACATACAGCTTTTCACCACAGCCCAGGCCATGTGGGTAGCAAAGAATCCTGTTAGACTGGGAGCTCTGGGAGGGCAGATGCTGCCCTGGGCCCAGGAACAGTGCACAGGCCCTTAGACTATGGGCTCTTTCTCAACTTGAGCTGGTCTGCTACTCTCAGGGAACCTGGGTGAGCAAGAGACTTAATCATCCTCTCCACTCACAGAAATCAGTCTGTGCAGTGGCAGCAGGGTGGCTCGGGTGTGAGGTACTGGGGATGTGCCTGAGACACCCCTTGTCCCTGCCATCACTGAGACACATATGGACACAGCAGATAACCTGGTGCTTTCATAGGTGGTAGAGCCCAGCACCCACCCTGGAAGGAAGAGCAGTCACCCCAGACTAGGGGAGGGTGTGCCCAGGTCATGTGCTTCGGGGACTGATCCCGTTCCAGGTTGAGGGGCAGGTGAGTTGGGGGTGTGGTGAGTGTGAAGGTGGAGAGGCCCAAGGAGGGTAAGGTGGCCAGAGCCAAGAGAGACCCCCAGAGTCTGCAGGTGGAATGGCAGATGTCCTGGTTTCCAGTGTGCTGAGCGGATCTCAGTGGATCCCTGTCTCTGAGAACAGAGACAGATCCCAGGAATAGAAGTGCATAAGGAAGCAGACAACATCGACACTGCCACAGGAGCATGTGGCCCATTTGGTGCTGGCCCCGCATCAGGTGGTGACGCCTTGTTCCACAGCGCCAGCAGACTCACCCACTGACTATCTCCTTGGTCTCCGCTCGGATGAAATGCTCCTTCTCAGGCGTCAGAATGCACAGGGAGAACTTCTGGCCCGTGCGGCCCTCCCCATCCACCACATCTGTGCACTGGTTCATGTTGATGGTACCCTGAGGCAGGGTTGTGGGCTGCAAGAAGGCGGCAGAGAGTCACCCAGAGGCCAGCCAACGGGGCCATAGATGTCCCACAGCCCCAGGCCATTCCTCACCCTCCCAGTCTGTGGGGCCCCCAGGTGTGCTCTCCCTTGCCCCAGCCCCATTCCTCTTCCTTTGTTCTTATCACAGGGAAGATGGGAACAGGCCTGGCCTTCTCCAGAGGACACCCAGTTAAACACCCCTCCTACGTGGAGAGCGATATCCCACTTGCACTGGAGGAGGTGTGCAGGCGAGGACAAGGTAGGGACAGCTGGAGTGACAGGGACAGCCGAGATCCTGGTCTCAGAGGGGCTGCTGATCCCACAGAGAAGCAAGAAAAAGCTCCAGAGGAGGCAGTTTCAAAATAGCAGGGTTATTTTTAGAGGCAAGGAGGGGGCCAGAGAGAAGCCACATCCTTGAGAGCAGGCTGTGGGGTGGGTGCACCATGCATTCTTTAGAGGCAGCCAAGGAGCACACCCGGCAGCCTGGCCCATGGCACCTTCCCAGGGCCAGAGCCGAGCCCAGCAAAGGCTGCCACGCCAGCTCTGGCATGGCAAACAGTAACTTTTTTTTTTTCTCACAACAAAAGCTGTTACACACTGAAATTAGGGACAGAAAACCAAAAGCAGGAAAGGAAGCCTTTAAGAAATCCCTACTGAGGTGAAGAGCTAGGCTTGTTTAGCCCCATGCCCTTTGGCCTCTTTTTTCCTCTCCCAACATAAGGACATTTTGGGAAAGCGGACGGGGTCACTATGACCAGCACACGAAGGGTGCTCCTGTCCTTAACACCCTCCACACTGATTCCACCGCACTGCTGGGCAGCTGCTGGCTTTTCCACCGAGCACCCCCAACAGCCCACCATTTCCTTGGTCTCATTCTTGAAGAAACAGAAGATGCTTCTGATCTATCTGAGGGGTGGGCTGCAGTTGGGCTGCCTTCTACCCAGAGGTCTAGAAGGTTCCTACCACCATCCAGCCTCAAGCTCCTTGCCAACAGTCAATGGGGGCTTGTTCTGAAGAGCAGGATGCTGGGTCTGGTGCCCACACTGAGCTCAGATCAATTACTCTCCACACCCCCGACCTTCTTTCTCTGTCAGATGCAGGTTAGGTGCAACCTCCCTGTCCCCCCAGCTCAAGCTCCTGTGGTCTTCCTGTTAATTCCTCTGATCCACTTGCCACCTCTTTCTACACCCCCTGATGCCTGCCTGCAGGAGCCAGACCCAAGAGCTGCTGGCTTTGCACAGCCCTTGCCTACGTGGCTGCTGGCTCTTTCCTCCATGGTTAAGTGCCCAACTCTAAGAAGCCTTTCCATGTGGGGTCTCTGGGCTCAGCCATGCCCTGTGGGCCCAGCTCAGAATGGAGATGGCATAGCAGGTGGCATGTAGGTTGAGCTCACAGGAAAGCCTCTTCAGTGGTTTCACCCTTTCAGCACACACCCTTGGCATCCTGCCTCAATGCTGACGCTAGGGGTACATGAGAAGGAGCCACATTCAAGCCTAGCTCAGTGTTCTCTCCATCAGTGGAGTGGCCTGCAGGTGCCTCTTCCAGACACTCTTGGAGGGTCCTTGAGAAGGAGCCAGGAAAGGGAGATAGGTGGGTTTGCTCTGTAACCAAGCAGTGGGTGTTTCCTGAGGAGGAGCACGTAGAGGAGGCGGCCTCGGACCCTATCTTTATGTTAGTCCAGGAGGCCTGCATCCAACCCCCTGCCATCTTCTGACTGGGGAGGCCCGCACTGAGTGCTATGGCCACAGCCGCAGGACAGATGGGCCTTCCCACCCAGGGCAGGGGCCATGGCCTTCCCAATCTCCTCTCTCCAGCTCCAGCCCCTTTACTCTATTCGAAAGAAGTTCTCATCCTGGGCCTCCTGGCATGGTGTAGGTGCCTGCCTGAACCCTCTGGGCAAATGCAGGGTTGCTCTGATTTCCCTTAGAGCCCAAAATCCCCATGCAGAAGCACAACCCACCTCCACCTCCCCAGACAAGGCATCCTGTTTCTCTGAGGTGGACCCTCTTATTTGCTAATTGAGGAAACTCCACGGACCATAGTGAGGACTGGATGGCATGAAGCAGTAAAGTGCCTAGTGTACTCAGTACCAGAGTGAGCCACTGTGGAGGAACCACTGTGGAGGCAGAGGGACTTTCCTAAGGCAGCCCTTCCTCTCTGGTCTTTGACTTTCACCCTGGTCCTTGAGACCGTGGTCTCACAATGCCAACAGTGCAGGCCCTGGATGAGCTGTGTATCCATACCATGGTGCCAGTCTATTATGAGCGTGCACGCATGTGCACACACACGTTAGATGGAATATATCAACAGAAATTCCAATGTTTTCTTCTTATGGGATCATCTACCAGGCCCCTGGAGGCACAGCACAGGCCCCACTTTAAGGCCACCATTCCAGGGTTCAGTGTCACCAAATTGCTCACTGTCCCTGAAGCCCGTTTGTCTGGACACCTGGCCCCCAGCCAAAGTCCCTGCTCTGCTGCTGAACGTGACTGTGTCTCAGTCTCACTAAGTATGAAAAAACGTCTACCACGTCTCCACTTCTTTAGGCGTCCATTTCCTCATGTATAAAATGAGGGTTCTATCTCCTTCCAAAAAGGATTTCAGAAACGTTAATAAAAGGCAAAAACATGCCAAGCTGGGCCGAAGGAAATTAGTAATTAACTACCTGTGTGTCAAGATCTCACAGTTATGATCTCTTCAACATTACTTACTGTGAGGTGGGCATCACCTAACCCTATCACACACGAAGAAAGGAGAGCAAACGGAGGTAAATAACAGTTACCAGAGAAGAGCCCAATCTATTTCCACGAAGGAGGAAAGAAAACTTCCTGCTTTTTTTTTTTTTTTTTTTTGAGACGGAGTTTCACTCTTGTTACCCAGGCTTGAGTGCAATGGCCCGATCTCGGCTCACCGCAACCTCCGCCTCCTGAGTTCAGGCAATTCTCCTGCCTCAGTCTCTGGAGTAGCTGGGATTATAGGCACGCGCCACCATGCCCAGCTAATTTTTTGTATTTTTAGTAGAGACGGGCTTTCACCATGTTGACCGGGATGGTCTCGATCTCTTGACCTCGTGATCCACCTGCTTCGGCCTCCCAAAGTGCTGGGATTACAGGCTTGAGCCACCACGCCCGGCCAAAACTTCCTGCTTTTAATCAGATGATCTCATTTTTATTTAATCCTGGTATTAATTTTTCTTTTCTTTTTTTTTTTTTCTCTGATACTAACTCCAGGTAAACCTTTTCGTTTTTCTTTTTTTTTTTGAGATGGAGTCTTACTCTGTCGCCCAGGCTGGAGTGCAGTGGTGCAATCTTCGCTCACTGCAACTTCCGCCTCCTGGGTTCAAGCGATTCTTGTGCTTCAGCCTCCCGATTAGCTGGGACTACAGGTGCATGCCACCACGCTGAACTAATTTTTGTATTTTTAGTAGAGATGAGGTTTCACCATGTTGGCCAATGTGGTCTCGAACTCCTGACATCAACTGATCTCTGCCTGCTTCAGCCTCCCAAAGTGCTGGCATTACAGGCATGAACCACTGTGCCTGGCTTAACTTTTCTTTTAAACAACAGCTTTACTGAGATGTAATTCACATACAATTTACCTAAAGAGTACAGTTCAATGGCTTTTAGCATCATGTTCACAGAGCTGTAAAGCAATCAAGTACAGAACATTTCCATCATCCCCTGAAAACACTTGGACCATTCAGTCACTTTCCTTTGACACCTGCCCCGACCTCAGCAACTGCAACCTGCTTTCTGCCTCTGTGGATGTACCTCTTCCAGATACCCTGCATAAATGGAAAATTCTGGCTTCCATTTAGCATATTTTCAAGGATTTAGCATATTTTTGAGGTTCCTCCACATTACAGCATCTGCCAGTCTTTCAATCCTTTTTACAGCTGAGTAACGTTCCATTGTGTGGCTATACGGCATTTTGTGTATCCATTCATCTGTTGATGGACGTTTGGACTGTTTCCATCTTTTGGCTACTGTGTATAGTGCTGCTGTGCACATTCCTGTACAGTGTTCGTGTGCTCTCATTTCTCTTGGGTGTGTACCTAGGAGGAGAAGTGCTGGGTCATATAGAAACAATATGTTTAACTCTGAGGAGCTGCCAGACTATTTCCCAAAGTGGCTGTTCCATTTCACATTCTGACCAGCACTGTATGAGGACCTGGGACTAACTTTTTAAACTGTATTATGCACTGCTTCTAATCGGCACTCTTGGAAGACAGGTCCAGGTACATACTAACGACCTGCTATGAAAGTAGCTCCCTTCAACTGTGGAGAGAAAGGAATGCTTATACACTGTTGGTGGGATTGTAAATTAGTTTGGCCCTAGTGGAAGACAATATGGCCATTCCTCAAAGATCTAAAGATAGAAATATCATTTGATCCAGCAATCCCATTACTGGGTATATACCCAAAGGAATATTAGTCATTATATTTATAAAGATACATGCATACCAATGTTCACTGTAGCAATATTTACAATAGCAAAGACATAAATCAACCTAAATGCCCATCAATGATCTAGACCGGATAAAGAAAATGTGATATACATACACCATGGAATACTATGCAGCCATGAAAAAGAATGAGATCCTATCCTTTGCAGGGATATGGATGGAGCTGGAGGCCACCATCTTTAGCAATGAACACAGAAACAGAAAACCACATAGCATATGCTCTCACCTGTAAGTGGGAGCTAAATGATGAGAACACAGACACACGGAAGGAAACAGCACACACTGAAGCCTTTCAGAGGGTGGAGGGTGGGAAGAGGGAAACATCAGGAAAAGTAACTAATGGGTATTACGCTTAATACCTGCGTGACAAAACAATCTGTACAACAAATCCCTATGACACAAATATACCTATGTAACAAACCTGCACTTGTACCCCTAAACTTAAAAAAAAAAAAAAAAAGAAGAGAAAATGGCTTCCTTTAAGTCTCAGTAGCACAGTGTTCCCCCAACACTGCCGCCGACGGGGG